TTATGTTGCTATCTGCCACTACAAATGAAAGCATTTCTTGAGAGGGCCAGAAAAATGGCTTAGGTGCACTCAGAGAAAGACAAAGACACTCTAGACCCAGGCAACACAGAGGAGAGAAACCCAGATCCACAAATTGCTTTGAAAGTGCCGTTTTCCAGAAATTAGGGCACCTGAAACAGGATGAAACGTCTCATCAGCATTCTTGAATCCCAGCTGCTCAGTTCAGATACAAAGAAAGAACATCACACACACCATGCATGCAGTTTTGAAGCTGGGACATGAACTGCACAAACCAGGGAGCCCCTTTGATCCCATCTCCCCTTTCTCAGGGGAAGATTGAAACAGTAGAGTCACAGCTACAGCACAGCTCCTGTCATCCCTCCTCCTCTCCACGAGGACGGAGAACACCGTCAGCAACATCCAACCCTGAGTTTAGGCACCAGAACACACACCTGGCAATCCGCAGCAGCTCTTCTGTGTTCTTGGCTCAGCAAAAGGAGGAAAGCTTCTGGCACGCCCTCACCTCAGAAAAGGCACTACAGGGGTAGAAAAGGTCCAGGGCTGGGTGTCAGGGAGGATGTATGGTACCCACCAGCTCCCACATAAGGAGCTAAATAGACCTCGGACGCTTCAGCCTGGAACAGAGACAGGTGACAGAAGTCTATAAACTCGCCAGCAGTATAGACAAGCCAAAGCAAGGGCCATTACTCACCTTCCCGCGGTATCAGGATGATGGATTAGCCAGGGATGCTTTCAGGCAATTTAGAAAACAAACAGGAAGCACTTTTTTCACCCACACATAATTAAGTTGTGGGACATATTGCCACAGGATGTCGTGAAGGTCAGAAGGACAAATGGGCTCACAACGGCATTACACAAATTCACCAGAGGTAGTTTATATGTGTCCATTAAGTGCCACGCTGCGCACAGCGTTCGGCTGGGAAGTGCCTGCACTGCTCGCAGCTGGAAACTGGGAGGGGGTCAGGGCAAAACTGCTCTGCAGAGGTTCCCTCTTTTGTACCTTTTGCCCAAATTACCTGGGCTGCCAGAGCGGGTAGGGGCCGGGCAGACCTTCGGCCCCGTGGGCTGCGATGTCCAGTCTCTCACGGCAGAACCCCATCACCCGGCACTTCTGCCTTACCAGAAGCCTTCACATTTCCCCAGGCAAAAAGCCCAAGCCCTGAGACTCTCCCCCAAGTGCCATCATCCCCCTTGTCACCGAATGCAGCCAGGATTTTTTCCTCTTGCTTTGCAGGGTTGCTGGTTTTCCTTTTGAAGTGGCGGGAAGGAAGGGGAGCGGAAGCAGAGGTGACTGAAGCCAAAACAGAGCCCCTGAGGCAATAAACTAAATGCAAGACACATGTTCTTTAATTCTTGCTCAGCAGCCTCCAACACGCAGGCTTCCTAGGGACAGCGCGGAGACAGGACCCGACAGATTTGTGTGACGCAGTAAAATGAAAGTAAAAATAAAGCTTGCATATGATTTTTTTTTTTTTTCTCTTTTTAGGAAAAGCCTACTGCCAAGGGAGTTTCCAGCATGGACCTGTAGAGCCAATTTCCCTGCCGTGCAGCAAGCAGGCTGCATACGTGGCTGTGAGAGGTGAGGAGCTGAACTGCTCCTCGTGTCTGTGCTCCAGGTGCCAGGGTCAGACAGGGGCACCATTATTCCCCCTCTGCTCCAAAACCACGCTCTTCACTCCCCTCCTCCCACCCCGAGGAGCCTTTGAGTCCCTCTGCCAAAGGAAAATCAGCTCAGGGCTTTGCTCAGGTGCTCCAGAGGCTCTGGCAGGAAGGTGCCGCTTGCCCCAGGGCCAAGGTCCCGCTCGGCTGCCCGCGGGCAGGAGGATGAGGGGCAGAGGCCGGGCGGTGAGGAAGGCAGGAGGAAGCATCCCTCGTGTCCTAGGAAGGAGCCCGAAGAGGGGAGCTCTGGGCTTGCAGGGGCTGCGCGGCGGGGGAACGCCGGAGCGTGCCTCGCAGCCGGCGGGAAGCTCTCCAGGCGGAAGTTATAAATTAGGCATCTCCGGAGACCTCATTCATTTTACCCGTAATAAAATTACCACTTTTCAAAGGGGAAAGCCCCTTTGAATGGCTTTAGTCAAACTAACCCCGTGGGATGGCTTAGCTCAGACGCACGTAAGCTCAAGCCCAGGTTTGCAGCCAAGAATTATACAGCCACACTGGGGACGTGGCTGGTGTTATGAGCAGCTCAACCCCTTCAAAACCCATCCCAGCTCCGTTCCCGAGCTCTGACGGGGCACAAAGCACCACCAAAGCATCTCAGAAAGGAAGATGCAAATACAGCTAAGTTGTTTCAAGCACCCCTGCTCCTTTTTTGACCTGTGCCTTTTCCCCTGCTCTTTTCCAAGCAGACTAGACTCAGCTCCCTCATCTCAGCAAAGTTTCACCCTCATCCATAATGTAAAAACAAAACAACCCCCCCACACACACACCTGGGGTACTAGTGAAGCTATTAATGGATCTATACAGGTCGAGAGTTTTGATTTTAAGGAAAGAATGGATGCCTATTTGTTAGTTGTCAACACCTCCTTATTTTGGTTAATCTCACCCTACGAGGTTCTATTTACTACAGCTTAATAAAAGAGGCAACTTACAACACAAAGAGTGATCAGGATTTTTTTCCATGTTGCAGAGCCAGAGGAAATGAAGGGGCACGGAGCAGCCAGGGGCAGAGCTCCCCCCACCAGCTCTCAGCAGTTGCTGCAGATTCCTGCTGATTCCCAATTTTGACCCACCCCTCAAAGCGAGAGAAAACCCCAACATTAAGATGAGTTAAACTTGCAACAAACAATAAGCAGTAACACATTCATCCCCATGGGTGCCGCTTCAGAAGTTCAAGTTTACTCTAGGCTCCGAAGGAAATAAACCCACCACTTCCAAACTACCAAGCACTTATGTGATGACTAGGGACCGTATCTTGGAAAGTTCTCTGGGATGTGGGAGTAGATCAGAGCGAGACCCGTTTGCTTCCAAACCCCAAAACTGCAGCATCTGCTTTCCCTTGGGACGGTGCTACCGCCTTGGGACTGTCAGGGTGAAGGATATTCTTCTTCTACTTGGACATTTGGCAAGCAAGCCTCCTGGATTGCAGCCACCCTGCTCCTACGTCCCGCAGAGATGACAAGAGCTCCCTTCCTCCAGTTCAGCGGAACTCCAGCGCTGGGACCAGCCTCAGCGAAAAGAAAGTCTGTATAGAGTGAGCCAGAAGAGCGCTGCTACGAGGTGGGGAAGGGTAAAAACTGTACCTGCACGGTACCGTGCTCATGGGGGACCAGCACCTTCCCGAAGGGGAGAGCTGCATTACTCGCCTCACGCCGAGCTGCACCTTCTCTGCAGCAGCTCACCGCAGCAAAGCCCCAGCCCAGCTGCTTCCACGCTTTTATTATTTTATACTCCCACATTCTGGCAAGGTTGCAGCTAGAGAAAGCAGCAATTCTCTCCTCCTCGCACAACTACTGACAGTTGGTAGCTCCCTGCCCCAGTGTGGATCTACCCCCAGGGGATAAAGCTTCCCCCGAGCAAAGAAAAAGCTCTGGAGACAAATCCAGAAGAAACGCAAGTGAACGCCTCTGGGCACTGCACTCACCTACATCAGACTGACACCGGAGTGCAGATTTCTTCATTTTCTCCTGACCTTTCATCCCCAGCCTGTCCACCACGCCAGACGCTGCCAGGAGAGAGCTAGAAGGTCACTGCCTTGAGGCTGAAACGCAAACCCTCCACAGGAGGCTGGCTCCTGCCCAACAGAACTGGTTTAGTGGCGGGGGAGACCTCACCTAGCAGGGAAGGTACCCAGCAAGGCGCTGCTGAGCTGTGGAACCACTCAAGTTACAGAGCTGAAGGACAGACAACCTCCTTCACAGCTCCATGGCAGCTTTTTCCTCCCCTTCGCCAGCAACTCTGTCCAGGGAAAGACAACTGCCAGGCAATCTGAAACAGCAAAGTCATCGAGACCGGCTGCAGCAGAGGCAGGGAGGTGCTGGGCGCACAGCTCGGCGCGCCGCGGCCACGGAGCGCGCGTTACCCACCACGGCGCAAGAAGCCAGCCACCAAAGTTCCACGGGGAGATGATGCCTGGTGGTGCAAGCCAGCCCTCAGCAGATACTGGAGGCTAGCAAGGACTGAGAAACCCTGCGAAGTGAAACCCTCTTCCCGGGGCGAGGAGCAAGAAGAAAAGACGTTCTCAAGCTTTGGTAACTTCCAACCCCACAACTCCCCCACCAAAAATCCCGATGTTTTATTCTTCACCCATCACTTGCCTGAGCAGCACGGAGTTGGGGGCCAGGGTGTCTACAGGCTGCGTGTATATTCTGCCATGAACCCAGTGGATCGGTTTTAATCCCCGAGATCAGGAAGGCTGACATCTGGAGCTCTGACCAACTGCGTGCACAAGACCACGAAGGCCGTGCTCAGAGCCGCTTCGCTGCGCGCAGCCCAGGCGCAGTCGCTCCAGCCCGTGCCTCTGCTGCTTCTCCACACAGGGAGTGTGGACACATCCGACCGCGACGGGCTCTCCCAGGTGCAAGGTGCTCCAATACCAGGGTGAGGACAAATTCACCGGGACGCCAATTCACATCTTTGCACTACCTGGCTTGAACAAGAAACCCGCCAACATTTTAAAGAGGGGATTTTATAGCCTGCACAATAGAAAGAGACTCCCGAGTTTCACTTTTCAACACACAAGTGTGACAAAAGGGATGTCCTGAGTCCAGAGTAAATGAATTCCACAAATACTTAACAGTTTCAACAGCCTTAGGTACCAGTGCTCAGACTAAGGCTTTCTAATAAGTAATTCATCATAGAAATAAACCCTGTTTTCAGCTGGAAATAAAAGGAACCCCAGGAGATCTGAAGCTTGACCTTTCTGCATCTGTTGAAAAGTCATCAGGATCTTATCTCACCTGCTTATCCCACTGAGCTCCCTTCCCAAACCTGTATCAGGAAATGAAGGCTCTTAGTCATCACAGTTTGATTAAGACAGCTTAAAATTCGAGCTTTAATTGAAATGGAAAGAAACATTTCAAGAGGATATATGTTTTATAGATTTAACCAAGTTACCCAATTTAGTTTTCACTGATGTTATTGCAAACACGAACATTAGATCATAAGTACCAAATAGGAGAGAACTGAAAAAAAAAAAAAGAATATAACCATACCATATCAGAAGGGATTGGACCAAATGCTTTTGTAGGCAACTATCCAAATGTGTGATGGACTGACATGTTAGCTCATAGGATGTAAGGACATCCTTGAATCCACCTGAAAAAACTTCTGAGGACTACAAACGTTTTCCTGGCAAACACCTTCTCTGCCAGCAATAAATCCCAGCTCAATACATATCTAAAATGATATACATTAGAGGGCACGTGTTTAAGAGTATTAAGTCAGCTTAAATTACTTGAGTGAAATTTTAAATACGTAATAGAAATCTAAAAAGGAGCAAAAAAAAAAAAAAATTGAGAGAACACCACTGCAATATTAATGCCAAGTTGTTACTTTTTTTTTTTTTTTTTTTTAAACATATCTGTACAGCAACATAGCAAAGGATGCAGTGATCACAATTCAAACCAGACAGCAACCTAAAGGAATACTAAACCTGTATACAGCAGAGCTGAAACACTCCCGATGTTCAGAAGCTCCAAATACGTTGGCTACCCTAATGCACTCCAAACCAGTTCTACCTACACAGGACATTTTGGTGTGAAAAAGTTTCTGTAAAGTTCCCTTTGTTTCCAGTGTTTTTCTTGTACAAAATATTACAATGTTTTTTTTATAGATATTTACAGACTTGCACAGCTAGAAAAATATAAACTACAATTGGGCTTGGCAATCAGTTCTTTTCTTTAAATACATGACATCTCAGAGCAAAAATTGTAGTGGTAACATATCCTGCACTTCAAGCATCTGCACCGAGCAGCTTCCTTCCTTAAGCATATCAAGCCTAAAAACCATGACTGCAGTGAGACAAGTGCCACAGTAAGTGCAACGAATGCAATTCATCCACCTCCCGGCATAAGGAAGACACAAGATGAATGTTGTTTGTGCAGGTTAGTGGCACAATATAGAAAAATCCATAACCGAACATTAAATTCCTTAATAACATTCATTAATTTCATAGGCAGAGGCTGTTAAAAAAAGGACAATCAATGTAACTTTTAGGACAAGCATACACTAAGTTCATGGGGTATTACACATCTTGAACAAAAATGCTACCACAGTTAACGTCGCAGGGGCATTTGCTGGCTTCAGGCAAGCCCCAAGGTTTAAGATTTTTTTTTCCATTCAACTTTCGAGTAGAGGCCAGGGAGGATTTTTTGCTTTAAAGCTACAGTATCTGTCATTATGGCTTTTAACACCCTGCCTTTCACTGAGATGAGGTATGAGCTTCTGGTGAAATGGTAACAGTTGAGCAGAACTAGTTTCAGTGGACCACAAAATGCCATAAACGGGTCTTCTCACGAGAGGTTGCCAAACCGAATTGTAATAGTGCAAAACAAGATTTCTTCTTTTGTTTTCCTCTGCAGAAAGAGTTGTTGAGGCATCTAGGACATTGCTAGTAGTCAAGCCACTGAGCAAATCCTCTTTCCACCAAAGTTCTGTTTATTGACACCACCTAAAGGGAGGTGAAACAACAAAGTAGAAAGGTGAACAAATCACTGGCAAGAAACATCAGCAAGATCCTAAGCAATAAAAAGTCTGCGTAACCATAAACTCTAACAGTGTTGAAAAAATAGCTACGTCAACATACGCACCTCATCTCCCATCAAGTTCCACAGCTGTATCAGCGGCAGACCAGTTGCACTGTCATAATTTGTGACCTAGAAACGGAGGAAAAACATTCGTGTGCAGCAATTCTGGTCTGAGCCACGGAGGACACAAGGCTAGCGTCATTCACTGCACACCGGATACTCAAACTTATGGGGAGGCTCGAGGAAACGGAGCTACGGGGACACACAGCCGGCGAGTCGCTCAGCTCAGCGACGCGCTCCGGCCGCGCGCTAACCCAGAGGAAGCTGTGAGATGGAGCGTCACGAGCGCCATCGGCTCCCCACTCGTCCCCGTTAGCAGACGTGGGTGGCTACGGCCGCTGTTGGAAGCGCTTCAGGAGGCCAGTGCCTCTTCACCGAGAGCGGGCGCTGCGCGCCGGAGCCTCGGGGACACCGCCAGGAGCCCTCACCTCCCCTCCGGCCGGGCGGAGGGCAGGCCCGAGTGGCGGTGGGGTGAGACTGGCAAAGCGGTGCAGAGCCAGGGGAATGCCTGGACACCGGCCTCCCTGCGCCCTGTCAGCCCAGCCGGGTGCCCGCATCACTCATCCCTTCCCGGCCACAGCCCCGAGCAGGGCTGACGCCACGCGGGGAAGTTCTCAGCGCCAAGGTTTCTCCACGAGAACCCTGCCCGGCAGCCCGGCTTGCAGGCTCTGCCTTCGCTCTCGATTTCACCGCGCGCGGCGTGCCGGGGGGGTGGGCAGAGAGGGTGACAGCAGCAGGTCAAACCGGCGGCAAGACTTCTCCAGACGGCTCCCGCGTACCTGCGCCACCAGGACTGCGCCTCTGGTCATCTCACTCACGGCCGCGTCAGCTTCGGATGAAAAGTGATCCTCGTCTTTGGGAAGGAAAGGGCAGGAGAAAACAAATGAGACATTCACAGGCTTTAAAAGCCGGAAGGGACTATTAAGCTAATCTCATCTGACCTCCTACATAAGTTAGGCCAGAGAATCCTCACCTACTGTTGCTGTACACATTTGCTGAAACCAGTCTATTAAGCTGGAGATCACACAAGCATTACGCCTGCTGTGTTGCTGAAGGGAAAGGATGAAGTGCTTTCTAAAGCCACTTGCTAAGTTAATGTGAACACAAATGGCTGATGAATTAGGTAGCTTTGAAGACAGAAGAGTATTCTTCTGCAGTACCTTTGAGCTGCCATTAGTATTTTGATCTTTACTAAACTAAGCTTAGGGGCCTCAGGGCTTTACTGACCCTGCACAGAGTGCAATACTGTGAACGGGAACTCAAAAGCATTTGTACCGCAGGCTGGCTGGCACCTGAACAGTGCCAAACGCGCCCTGGGCAAGCCCTGGCAGCTCAAATCTCTTGGCTTTCACAGCTTAGGTGGGTGCTGTTGCTAACTCGACACCTGTAATGTAGCAGGCAACCCTTGTGTCCCAGGCAATGCAGTCACAATCTACGCTGAAAACGCTTAGGCCAGGTCTACATGTCGGAGGAAGGTTACTTATTTCCTACCAAACTGTTGCAAAATAAAGTTTCTCCTATGTGCTCCCCACCCTGAGACGTCCTCCAGCAAGCGAACTCCTCACAAGCCCACAGATGGTGGAGGAGGTCGGTTACCTCAGGGAACGTGCAAAACACTGACTTCTGCTGGGGGCAGCTTAAGCCTTGCCACCCACCTCCAGCACGCCCAGCGTCCTGCCAGCCCCAAAACCCGGCGGCAAATCCTGGCCTGACCCCAAAGCTACAGCCACCCCTTGCGCTCCCCGAAGGGCAGCTCTTGGGACACCAACACAGCGTGCATCTCGAACACCACTAGCAAAGAAAAAGCAAACCAGAAGGCACTTCTAGGGAGTGACTGACATTCTTCCAGTGCTTGGAAGGTAGCCTTTAGAACACAGAACTATACACATCAGTCATTTCAGTAGGAAAATGTCAGATACTTGCCTAGCAGATTAAAAACAGTTTGCATTTACAGCTACTCTATGACAGAATAAGGCAGAGTAGTTACAGCTACTTCACCTATACCCTGCCAGTCCTGCCAACTTGCTGTTTAGAGAATAATTCATTCTCTCTTCCACACAGGAAAAAGCCTGGACATTTATCATCCTTCCCCTGGAGTCTGACAGGTTATGCTCTGCTAGCACATTTAGAAGAATAAAGTACAATTTTTCCAATCCTTGCTCTAGTCACATCAGAGGCTGTGCTTGCAAAAGGAGGAAGAACGTTTAGACAGGTTCATGGCTTGCACAGTTGGCATCCGTTTAAACCTGCACGATTACCTGGAAGCGGCATCACGTTGTCTAGTAGCACCTCTGCTCCTTGGAAAGGCAGTGATAAAAAATCAGACCTTAAAGAAAAGAGAATCCGAGTAAGAACATGGCTTTAAGTTACTCCTGTAGTCTTTAAGGTGACATTGATTAATCCATTGCTCTAACAGGAATTCAGTTTAAAATTGATGACAGTAAAAAAATCAGCCTATTCTCCCAGCAACCTAAGCAGCAGTAGCAATAAACTGTCTGATTAGCATGCCAAGTTGGACTGGGCTCCAACCAAAAACCACCTCTGTAACGGAGGCTGTGCTGCTTTTCTCCCACCTCTGGGGCACAATCAAGTATTTAATGGGCTCGTGTAAGAAAACCCTCATCCAATACGGCTCTCCCAGCCAATGGGGCTGGGAAATGGAGAATCTGAATCTTATTCCTAGCTCATCAGTTACACCTCAGGGCTTCCTGAAGGCAACCTTTTACTCAGCTTCCATGCTGAAGTGGCAGAAATTGCAGTTTCCTCTCCCCTCCCCTTCAAAAAAAGCCTTGCAAGAGCTTGCTGTGCTCCCAAGGAATCCACACCCACTGCCGAGACAAACCTTTCTACCATTTCCTGCTTCAGCTGTGGAAAAACCTATAAGCAATTCAAACGATATGGATGCCTCTGATGAAGATCCAAGCCAGAGATGGCCTCAGGCCGTGGAAGAGGAGCTAGAGACCTGATTTGTCTGAGTGTGTCGATCTTCACTCTGTCGTATCCTCCATAGTCCACGTATCTGAGCTCCACTTCACTGGTCTCTTCGAAGTAGCTAATGACTTGAGCCCGTAGCCATGCCCCATCCAGGCCCGGGGCTGCGCAGATAATACCAACTGCAAAACACGAAGAGTACAGAGAAGAAAGGCTGAGTGTAAGTGGGTTTCCAGAAATCAGCCCTTCAAGCCTTAGTAGTGCTGCACAGTCAGCTCCCGAGAAGCGACAGCAGTTCTCACGCTGCTTCCATCTTCTCTCACCACCGCCCACGCCCCCTCAGACAAGGCCTGCAGACGGGGCACCGGGGAGGTGGGTTTTACTCTCAAGTCTCTGCCCGCCACTGCCATGCTGCGCTGCCCAGGCACCCGGCTCCCTCCCAGCCTTTGGTCACCAACAGCGAGGTCTGTCTCCAAAAAGGGAAGTAAGCACTACTAACCCCTTCCGTGGGATGCACCCTCCACTTTACACCACGTGCAGACAGCGACTCTATGAAGATTCGGGAGTAGTTCCACACTTTGTCAGCATAAATACACCAGATGCCAAGCTGATTAGAAATAACCTGAGACGGACTTTATCTCACTCTGAATTTCAACATGCAACTAAGTGTCTGGGGAGCAGGGATGAGCGGGGTAAGGAAGAGTAGCACAACATCTGTACCCTGGCAGCAGCTTAAAAAAAGATGAAGTGACAAATGAACTATCACACTCTCATTCCCTGGGAAACTTCCCAAGCCTAGCTCAGGGGCATCGGGATTTCGCGTGACCCCAGAAGTTTCTCAGCTGAACCATTTGTGAGCACCCAAGCTACTTGCCTTCTACGGGAGTTGGCAGGGTTGGAATTTCAGGTTGAGAATAGCAGGCATACATCTGCTGGTCGAGGCTACGCAGGACGTGGAAAGTGGGGTGCGTATGCTGCTGTAGAAACATGTGCCCTGCATCGACCTGGTTTGCCACAACCACCTCTACAGTGACGCCATCTGGGAGGAACAACTGCCATGTGGAGGAAAGAAATTCTCATTAGTGTTCGCTGCAGCACAAGCTTCATTCACAGTTACTCCACACTCCACCAGCAACTCCTGAGGCTTACGGCCAGGGGTGGAAAATACTCTGGTATTTCACTTCCAAAGGCTTCTTTGGATCAGGAGCAGAAAGCTACTGGCTGTTACTCCATGCTGTTCTAAAGGAAATCAGACCTGGGGAGGGGCCCATCTTGTACACAAAAAGACTATTGGCACAGAGCAGCTGTAAGACCTATTTACCCAAGAGATCAGCGAGCAGAGTCAGAAACGATGCAGGTCAAGTCGCGCTGTGTTATCAACACAGCACAATTCCCAAGGATTCCCTGCCCACGGGGTTTTTAAACATCAAGGTAATCTTCGCAGGGATTGTCCAAGATTTGTCACAGAGGCCTCATTTTCAAAGTAATTTGCCCTGGCTGCTAGAGAGCCATTGTGTTGGGCAGCTGCCGAGCATTACTGTGCTCAGAACACATCTAAAATGCCTTTAATTTCCCAGTGTAAATTCACTGCTCCAGAACAAAGCCTGTCTTCACATCCATGGAGACATTTATGTGCGCAGTTACTTTATGGATTCTAGATGCCCAATGTAAACAAAGAAATGTTTTCAAGTATCCAGATAGCAAAAAAGAAGCATGAAAACTCTTCTGGGAAACACTGACATGAAAACCTCTTTTAAGTGTAATTAAATACCATAAGGAAGTAAAACATTTGGATAAAACTAACTGCAGGATTGAGGGACAATACCAGTAATGGCAATGGATCAGCGTGGCCCTCGAGCAGGGAGGGCAGACAGTCAATTCTGCCTGAGACCGAACTTTTATTTCCTTAGGCAAACCTCTAGTCAGTAGGTAAAAGCCTACCAGGCCAGACGTGCATGAAAGAGCTTTAAACTAGATTTGAAGGGGGAATGGATAAAGCCAGGATCACTAGAGATAAGCCTGGGAGCAGCATGCCAATGTTTGAGGGACAGTGTGCTAGTGAGCTCCTTTGGTCTGCCATCTCAGTGGGGGCAGGGGATGGAGATTCTTGCAGCAATGAAGACACAAGGGCTGCCGATGTGTTAGAAACCACGGAAGTGCCTGAGAATATTCACGTAGGAATTAGGGCTTCTCCCCCCCCAAAAAGGTGGCGGGATCAATAGGCCAGCTGAAGTGCATCGACATCAACGCATGCAGCACGGGCAACAAACAGGAGGAGCTGGAAGCCACTGTTCAGCAGGAAAGCTATAATAATAATTGCAGTCACAGAAACACGGTGGGATGACTCGCACAACCGGAGTGCGACTGCAATGGGTGCTGTAAAGTCTTCGGAAGGGACAGGCGAGGAAGGAGAGGCGGTGGGGTAGCCCTGTATGTTAGGAAGTGATTTGGCTGCCTAGAACTTAATGATGCTGCTGATAGGGTTGAGTGTTTATGGGTAAGAATCAGAGAGGCAGCCAACAAGGCAGATATCATGGTGGGAATCTGTTACAGACCACCCAGTCGGGAAGAAGAGGCAGATGAAATATTCCATAAGCATCTGGGAGAAGCCTCACAATTGCTAGCCCTTGTGCTCATGGGGGAAACACGTTGACAAAGGATGAGGAAAAGGCTAAGGTACTTAATGCCTTCTTTGTCTTAGTCTTTATAGTAAGACCAGTTGTTCTCAGGGTTCCCAGTCCCCTGAGTTGGAAGACAGGTATGGGGGAGCAGAATGAAGCTCCCACGATCCAAGGGGAAACTGTTAGTGACCTGCTACACTGCTTAGACACACGTAAGTCAGATGGGAATTACCCAAGGGTACGGAGGCAGCTGGTGGAAGTGCTCACCAAACCACTTTCAGTTATTTATCAGCAGTCCTGGCTAACTGGGGAAGTCCCAGTTGACTGGCAAATGTGACACCCACTTACAAGAAGGGCTGGAAGGAGGATCCAGGGAACTACAGGCCTGTCAGTCTGAGCTCGGTGCTAGGGAAGGTTATGGAGCAGATCATCTTGTGGCACATACAGGACAACCAGGCGAACAGGCCCAGTCAGCCATGGGTTTATGAAAGGGAGGTCCTGCCTGACTAACCTCATCTCCTTCTCTGACAAGGTGACCTGCTTAGTGGTTGAGGGAAAGGCTGTGGTTATTGAGTATCTAGACTTTACTAAAGTCTTTGACACCATTTCCCACAGCGTTCTACAGAAACTGGCTGCTCATCACTTGGAGAGGGGGGTACTTTTCATTGAGTGAAAAAAACTGACTGGATGGCCAGGCCCAGAGTGGTGGTCAACAGAGTTAAATCCGGTTGGTGGCCAGTCGGAATTGATGTTCCCAGGGCCCAGTATTGGGCCCGGTTCTGTTTAATATCTTTACCAATGATCTGGATGAGATGATCCAGTGCACCCTCAATAAATTTGCAGATGACACCAAATTGGGCGGGAGCGTTGACCTGCTTGAGGGTAGGGAGGTTCTACAGAGGGATCTGGACAGGCTGAGGCCAGTTGTATGAGGTTCAACAAGGCTCAGGGCCGGGTCTTGCACTTGGGTCACAAGCTCCCCAGACAATGCTACAGACGTAGGGAAAAGTGGCTGGAAAGCTGCCCGGTGGGAAAGTACCTCAGGGTGTTGGTTGACAGCCAGATGAATATGAGCCAGCAGTGTGCCCAGGTGGCCAAGAAGGCCAATGGCATCCTGGCTCTTATCAGCAGTACTGTGGCCAGCAGGACTGGGGAAGGGATCATCCCCTTGTACTCGGCACCGGGGAGGCTGCACCTCGAATACTGGGTTCAGTTTTGGGCCCCTCACTACAAGGAAGACATTGAGGTGCTGGAGCATGTCCAAAGGAGGACAGCGAAGCTGCTAAAGGGTCTGGAGAACAAATCGTAGAAGGATCAGCTGAGGGAACTGGAGTTGTTTAGTCTGAAGAAAAGGGAGTTTCAGGGGAGACCTTATCACTCCACAGCTGCCTGAAAGGAGGTTGTAGTGAGGTCGGTCTCAGTCTCCTTTCCCAAGTAACAAGTGATAGGATAGGAGGAAACAGCTTCAAGTTGCGACAGAGGAGGTTAAGATTGGATATTAGGAAAAATTTCTCTGCCGAAAGGGTTGTCAAGCATTGGAACAGGCTGTCCAGGCAAGTGGTGGAGTCACCATCCCTGGAGGTATTCAGAAGGCATGTCAATGTGGTTCTTAGGGACACGGTTTAGTGGTGGACTTGGCAGTGTTAGTTTAATGGTTAGACTTTATGATCTTAAAGGTCTTCTCCAACCTCAATGATTCAGGGATTCTACATTTCTCAGCTCAGGCAGAATAGAAAGAGTAGTGGAAGAACAGGTAGATAAATCTGATCTGTAACAGCTACGTAAGCTGGACAACAGATGGCCACACGAAATCAAACTGTTTCTGAGGGCACCTGTGAACCAGCCACATGAAGATGGCATACTACGATGGCAGTGACCAACAACAGCCTTCCACCCTGACATCAGTGCAGCCAGCGAGCTGGGACTTACCCAGGCAGTCATAAGGAGGGAATGAAGCGTCATTGGTGTCGGTGGAGGTAGAGCGTGGATGTTGGTGAGACACAGCTCTTTGAACTTCCTGCCAATCAGGCTCAGTACTTTTTCTACTTGATGCGGGGAGCCTGGAAGACAAAAATCACTGTAGCAGAAATTCTGTAGCACAGATATGCTGTGGAGACCTCCACCCCCACCATGTGAAGCAATATAGCTACCAGAAGCCTTCTGCACTACATCAACAATTTAAGTTTTAATAGATTGACCACGCAACCCGGTATCAGACCAACATGAGCAACTCGGACTTCCAGGCCCAAGTTTCAACAGCTTTAGCCTCCAGTATGAACGCAATTCACTGGCAGGCATTCTTCAGCCACAGTTAATCTAACATCCTTCACAGGCTGCATCTGCTGATACACATCGCATTGCTCCTCCTTCAAGCCTGCAGAAGTGATCTGCAGAAGGTGTTGGTGAAACCACAGCAGCCAAAGATGTTAAAATGCATTCTCAGCTCTGGAATAGAGGGTTTGTATGCCAAGGCACAGGTGACTTGGTACACACCTCTACTGTAACACCACTGACCATAAAAGTTTTGTAAAGCACTGGACTCACAAAAACACTAAATTTGTTTAAACTCCTTGCCCATCTAATTAACGTCCCCAAACTATATATTAGACCATAAATAAAAAGACTTTCCACTTGCCTTCGATGTGACAGATTTGGGAGTCACGGAAATAAGGTAGTGTTGAGACATAAATTTTGGCACCAGACGCTTGCCTCAAGAAGCTCATAAATCTTCCTTGCTTGCCGATCAAGCGGCCAACTAATTCCTTTACGGAAAGGACAAGAAAGCAACAGTCAGGAAGAGAAATGTAGATCAAACAACACTGTTCTCTGTGCCTTATTTCACCCACATTCCCAGTTCCTGTAGCATAGGGCCAGGCAGGATAAATACAAGGCAATGCTGGACCAGTGGAGAGTTCAGCTGCCCTGTGATAAGTCAAGGTAGATACAGATCAGTAAGCACAGCTCATTTTGATAGATCCATCTTCATATCTTGTAGAACAACACAAAGACTTGGTGGGACAAAACCAGGCCTGGTAAAGGCTACTGTCTTCCTACAGTCAAGTCAAGTCACCACCTCTCCCAGTCTCCCACCACTTTCATTTTTTAAAAAGCATGTTACATACATTTTTCATTCAAATACAAAATACTAAGTTTTAGCAATTTTTAAACAAGCTAATTGGATTAGAAAGGGATTAGACAAATTCACAGGAGAGTAAACCAGGCTATCATGCCCGTTAGACTACAGAGTCCCTGGAGAGCTGTGCAGGGTGATGGAGAGAGGTGCCTGTGCAAGTCCTGTCACTTCTACTCTTCCACTGGCACCAGCCACCACTTACCATCAGAGACCAGATAGCAGAGCAGAAGTGCTGGGCCCGAGTCAGTATGGATAATCCTATACAATGTAAAGGCAGATACCTTAAAAAAAAGCGACAGCCTGTCCTCACTAACAACTAAAATGTATTTTCTTGCTGTAAAACTGCTTCCTTAGCCTGTGTTCTACCGATCCACTACAAGGCATGTTACATGTCGTCACTGGAGTCACAGCGTCCCAGCGCTCGAGGCAGCACGCTGGCCCTGCTGGGAGCTGCTGTCTCACATTACTCTCAGTATTCAGGTCTGCTGAGAAGCAGAACTGCAAGACCAGGACAGCCACAGGTGATTTTGCATATACAAAAGCAGGCACAAAGGTACGAATACAGTCCTAAACCCCACAATCTCTCTCTCAACCCAAAAGAAAGCTCACTATAATGGCAGAGACACAGCAGCTCCACAGAATAGCTCAGATGAGCATTCAGCTTGTGAGAAAGGGCTTGGATGGGCAGTTGAAACATAACCCTCCTACATAGTGGAAAGAAAAAAAAAAAAAAAAACACACAACATTCATCACCTGCTCTTAATAACTGTGTACCTCCAAAGCCTTCTGAATGCTTTCAAAGCATCACACTAACAGACTGGGGTGGAGGATAATGGGGAATGAGTCCAACAACCAAGGTGACCCTGGGCGTAGCCCTGACATGCCTCTTGTTTACAGCTGTGTCCTGGCTCTTCACTCCTGTTGGGTCCTAATGGGAGTTAAACACTTAAATCCTCGTTGATTTGTCACTGATCTCCCTGGGATGGCACTGAGCCAGTACCAGACTGGAAAAAACAGAAGATGGCTACGTAGGGCAGGGCAGGATGCACGAGCAGGCCAGCAGCTGCTTACCTTTGGGACCTCTATTTCCCAGATAATGAAGTCAGACTTGCTGGATTCTCCTCCTAGCTTAGAGTTCTGGCGAGTCACTGTCTTCCTCATGGCACAGCCACTGTCCACAAAATCCATGTTATTTGCATCTGAACCTACAAGACACACACACACGTGTCAGCATTCAGACAACCCACACAGCCCAGCTACTAGACACAAGGCCATGAAGACACATCATTTCACAAAGAGGTTACACTGAGCTCTTCTTATGCATTCAGTTGGGATGTTCCTGTATCAGGTTCTCCAGTATTTCAGAAAGGGCAAAGTCCTGTCACACATAGCCTACTGAGTTTCCTTTTAGTCCTGGAAAAAACCTGCACACCTCTGGGAATGCAACAGGAGGCAGCCTGAGTTCAGCAGGAGTCCATCAAACATGGTGACACCTTACACAGCAGCGTAGATGAGGCACTATAAATCAAAGTTACCAGCTGAACGAGAGCTATGCTAACATCAACACTGAGCTGCTGCTGCAGCAACATATTTTGCATTTTCCCCATGGCTTAAACAGGGCCCTTCACAGGGAGTTCAGCATGCAGGGAGGGACATGCAACCTATTCATCTGCTTTTTGCACTGATGTTCCTGCCCCAACAGGGGTTGAAGAGTGACCCGAGTGCCAGGGGTGCCCGCTACTAGCCGGGGTAGGGGATTGCTTCTTGCCCATATTTGTCATATGCTCAGACAAACAAGGTGCCAGAGCTAAGCTGTGTTTTGTTCCCAAACTACCAGCCAATACCAGGAACATTTCTACTTGGGAAGGGAGCAAACTCAAACAGCTTCCTCCTGGTCAGGTTCCAGATACAGTCTAACACAAGGTTGATCCTTCCTCCAGATTACAAAGCAGAAGCATGAAGATCCTCACTTGCTTGCAAATATTCAGACCATCCAGTGCAAGACCAAAGAGAAAAATAAACCCAACAGCTGCTTCACATTTGCCACATCTTAACCAGTAACACAGCACAGATGCCTATAAAGTCAAACAGTGCAGCCGATTGCCACAGACTTCCCAGACAAGGATGAGGATTTAAGTCTCACAGACTGGGTGTGAAGGACAGCTCTATGACCTCTTATCCAACACAGCCACATTATCAACTTTACCTGCTACACCTCCTCTCTCTACCCTTCAGCTGCCTCGGTGCACGGCTTTCAGCCCCCGTCACCAGGCTCCACAACACTCTTGTCCTTTCTTGCCCCACCAGCATTCACAACAAGGCAAAACCATTTTCTTCCTATGGTTACCTTCGCTAGTGAAAATGTTATGTGGGTTTCATCCTTAGTTGTTGGCAAACTCAATGGCCAAGTCTTGCAACAAGCAGCATTCCAACTACTTTGTAGCAATTACAAAAAACATCCTGTCATTAAGGGCTGTTGGCACCACAGGGTCCTACAAAGGATTTTAACATCCATCCCCAAGGTCACACAGGTTAACATTTGCTCAGACAGCTTTGTATTCTGCCAGGCACACATCATCCAGGATCTAGAAGGCAAAGGCAACACTGAGACAGATGGGGGAACTCCATGAATACTGTTCCCTGTTGGGATTTCTTGGCATGCACCTACCCTTCCAAGCAAAAAAGCTTCAGGGTATTGGTCTGCAACCAACTGATTTTATCACAATTCATCAGAGCACTTCCCTGGCTCATCCAGCAGCACCTCAGAAACCTGCCTTATAGATTCCTTTCAGCAGCAGCCCGTAAACACAGATAAGAACCCAGAGCTCACTAGAGGCTGCCTGAGCTGAAGCAGAAACCAGTGGTATTAGCAGGTCTTAAACCAGCAAGGTGTTCAACAGCCTGGCCTACATCCAGGCACAGCCCACTTCACCCCAGCACGTTTAGCTTTAGACAATAAGCTTTGTGCTGAGAGGGGACCAGCCCGTTCACCCCTTTGCAGTATACCCTGAGGATCGCCCAGCTAACACTGGATCCTACAGAGCTGGGAATTCCGAGAGCAAATGCATACCCACCTGCACATGAGGGCTAAATATTCATCTACTGGGGAAGTTAAACATGAAGAGGATTTATCTGAACATGTTCGGAAGTAGAAGGGTTATAGCATATAAAATGCTTGTTCCCCACATTTTTGTAGAAGGATTTTCAAATCCCTTACCTCCTGAATGATCTCCATCCATCCCTGCTGCCCTGCTACACTCAGAACTCAAGTCCGGACCATCCTCTTTCAATATCCCATTACTGTATGGCACTTTGCTGTCTTCAGGTAGCTTCAGAGTAGGAGGTTTTTTACTTGGTACTGAGCTCTGCTCAGCAGACATGTCTTGGGTTGCAGATATGCTCAGTGAGTCCGAATGCTGGCCTGATATGACAGACAGCACTGTGTTCTGCAACGGGTCCTCCACACTCGTCCCACCTCCAAACGCATATGTGCTGCACCCAGAGTCCTCCATAACCACAGGTGACCTTTCCAGTGACCCTCTGTGGTTTTCCACAGGAGTCCGATCAACTTGTCGGGACTCACCGCGCACACGGTTCTTCACCCGACAGTCTTTTGTGTCTCCTTGAACAGGGCTGGATAAACAGCTGTGCGTTAAACAGCTGGAATCCGTCACGCTCTGATCCTGCCCCTCTGTCTGCGGGGATGTCAGGACCGCAGCATCACCCTTCGCAGCGATGTTCTCATCAGCTTGGGGAGCTTCCTCTGCAAGCATCTGATCAGAGCAAAGAGCGCTTGCCATCTCCGGAGGCGTCTCAGCTCGGCTGGCAGCGGCCTGGCAGATCCGAGCAGACGCATCACAGGCAGCACCAGATAGCACTTCCTCAGTTGCTGCCAAAATGACCTTGGAAATTATCTGTATTGCTACTTGCTCTATTTTCTCAACTTCCTCCTTGTCCAAACTCACTCCTCCAATCTCCTTTCTTTCCAATTCATCTCCTTTCGGCTGTGTGTCCTCCTCCTGACACACAGGTACTGTACTGGCAATGGACTCAGACACCTCTTCTTCCCTGCACTGCTCCAAACAGGCAGACTCCAAACTATCTGGCAACATGCGTACTGCAGAATCCTTGTGACTTGATACAACTTCCACTTCATTATTAAGAAAGGCTTGTGGGGTATTGGCTTCCTTCTCCAATCCCAAGCAAAGGGCTGTCACAGACCCAGTATCCGATATCAGAATTTCTGACATCTGGCTTTCCTTAGGGGGCTTAAAGGAAGATTCATCTGACTGCTCTGCCTTGCTGATCTCCTCCGTGATTCCCAAAGACTCTCCTGTCAGTGATGCAGACGGCCACTGATCTTGGTTTGCACTAGAGCTTGAATCCTGTATAAGGCTCACTGCAGCACTGCTGTGGCACTCTGTGCTCTTTGAGATTAGAGGGAGAGAAACACAAGCAGGGACACTGCTTTCATCTTGAGATCCTATTGTTTCTAGTTTTTCACTGTCGTCCTCAAGAGTGCTGGGCTGAATTGTTGTTACTGACAGGTCTGGAAGGTCCTGTGAGAGATCTAGCCTCTCATGACTTTGCAACAGAAGAGAGGGCGTCATCAACCCCGCTGACAGCAGGGAGGTCAAGGTTTCAGTCTCTGGCCATTCCTCTTCCAATGAGAGAGACAGTCTTTGAGGAACACATGCTTCTGTTCTGGATGATGAATTGTTCTCTGGCACTTCTTCCTCCTGCTCTTTTTCAGTGTCGATTACCTGTTTGTCGTGATAGCTTGCATGCTTTTTTCTGTGGGCATAGATCCACCAGCAGCCGAGAAGTGCCAGCACTCCAGGTATGGCATATGGGATGAAACTGCGGAAGCGTAAAGCCATTTTACAGAGCCTCAGCAATTATATCTAGGAGGAGAAAAAAAAAAAAATGTTAAAATAGTCACAAGGAAAGTAACAGGAAGGCTAAAGTTTCACAAATGTCGTGAGTTATTTCTATCAGTGTGAACAGGCTTGTTTCCCAGGCACTCTTTACATTCACATCTCAGCTCTACCAGCAGACCACTGAACAAGATCCTTACTTGTCTAGGGATATATGGACAGTTCTCACTATTACGCTCATCAAATTCACCTTTCTCCTGACTCACTTTTGCAGGTCAGTCCTACACCCAAGGGCAGCAGGCAGCACTGCCGGGCTCTCCAGCATCAGGCCAGGTTCACAACACAGCTCTACCACAAGCATTCCGTGACACAGGTCTCCCCAGCTCTCCGATGTGATGAAAGGCAGCATCACATTCCTGAGAGTGCCGTAGGTTGACAGCACTCTTCTCAAACATCACAACTTGCTGAAGGTGAAGTGCTTTGCAAACATCCTCACACACAGCACTGCAAGAGGCTTGTGTGCAGGCACATGCCAGAAGCTTGCAGTTAAGTAGGAGCAAAACAGCAACACGCAGCTACTTCATTTATTTTCACACGTGCAGTGTAGGAATTCCTAAGCAAAGAGCAACTACAGCCTGATGAAGAAAGCATCTCCCAGTAACCAGAAGTCCCTCTAAAAAATTTTGTAGTAGTGAAGATGAGAAATACCATTATAACAGCAGTATTTGTCTAGCAAAAGCAGCCTGGATAGAGACTCTACTACTTAGGAACCCAGCCACAAAGTTTGTTTTAGATCTAAATTTACTAAATTGACAGCTGCTGCTCCTCTGACTTTCTAGAGGTGAAAGGTGTCTCTTTTACTTTAGAAAGCATATGAACCCTCCCCTGCCTGGACACCACTAAGACTCATGTCCCAGTCACACTCCTTCACTTACAACCTCTCCTGGGTTACATGAGGCAGGGCTGACATGCCTCTCCTTTTCCTTAAGGGAAGTCTACAGCTGGATCACAAAGATAAACAGGTACCCGCATCCCCAGAAGAGCCTTGCTGCAAAGCATTTACAGTTTATGCTCTCACTGAGCAGGAATCAAAGCAAACCAAGACATGTCTGACAATGCTTACACACGACAGACTTTTCTCCAAACAAGCCTCAAGACTTTTGCCAACGAACAACAAAAATAAAGATTGTTTTTAGGAGATAGCAAAGTCCTAGAAATGAGAACCACCCACTGGAAAAGAGTATTATCTAGTTCCTCTTCAGAAGCATAATATTTCTTGGACAAGAGAAGACATTCAAAGTCAGTCTGCTGACTATGCTTAGTCTGTCTCAACCAGAAAGAGGCTTTTGCTATCAGAGCGAGCGTTCTGACCACGGCTTCCAAACACAACTCTGAGCTGATTACATTCTAGCTGAGGGACAAAACCATGCCTCCCTCAGGCTCAAACTGAGCATCCAAGTCTCAGATAATTTAATATTCACTCCAGATTTCTCACCTCTTCCAGCCACATCCTCCCATCCCACAGGAGCAAACACATAACTTCATCCAAGCTAGCTCAGATGCCAGACTTGCTTCTGTACCGTTTACTGCAGAGTCCTAATGACTGAGGTGAGTAGATAAATGAATAGCAAAAATAGGGACTAGAAAATTTCTCTTTCAATCCCAAATCAAAGGTCAGTTGTAGACATGATTTAAGAAATCCAGACACATCTCCAGTATATCAGAGATGAGGTATTTATGTTGTTCTACACATGAATGTCAAATGAACACAGACTCATATCTGATATCTTCTAAATCCATGTTACTTCCAGCTGGCTTTATACAGTCAGGTAACAGGGCTCGCTGATGAGGTTGAACTTTTGGTTAATGGAAACATCTGAGATTTGGAATTAAAAAAACCCCAACAAACAACAAACTTATGCAATAAATTGGATGCTTGGTTTTTGGAACTTGGTAAATGGAAAGGGTGAAGTCTGTACATTCCTAAGACAAAAGGTTCACATTTATGCTCTCCAACACAATGGCACATTGTAAGCCACTGCGAGTGCTCATCTGCTGTCCGCTTAAGTTGTTATAATTAATGCAGAACCACCCTACAAGCTGGCTCACAGGCGTACCACAAACTCAAATTAGAGTAGCTCACATAAGTCCATTCCCAGCAAGCTCTCCTGATTAAACAGACAGCCCTATTATTATCTGATTCTCTATTAAGTTGCCCCAACTGTACGAACAATAGACCCACACAATTCTGCAGCGCAGGAAGACAGTAGCTGTATGCCCCACAGAGGGACAGTCCTGTCCCGAAGCTTGGCAGAGAAACAGTTCTAGGAGTCATTTAAACATTAATATAATTTGAGATAAAGATCTTCACTCTGCTGTGATATTTAGATCAGTAGGGACTGGGGGATTAGCTGACTGCCCCTTGCAAAGATCATTTAGTTTCATGTTTTTCATTTGACTAGTTTGAGCAAAAGCTGCATTATACTATCAGCGACTGTGTTAAATGGGAATCCCACATCCTTCCATCAACTAGAAAGAGATAAAAGGCAGTGGCTCCGCACGAGATGCCAGCAGACACCCGAAAGCACCGAGCTGGCTAGGGGACAGCTAATGCCAACAAGCATCTCCTTACATAAACACAATTGGAGGACTTCAGTGGCCTGATTTTGCTATGCTGGTCACAATGTCGCTTTTGATGTGATGCCTGGATGGCTGGTTTTTTTAACCTGCTCAACCAAACAGCACATAGGATGCAGCAGATACTTCTCCTCCATTTCCTCCACAGGAGAGCTCCTAAAGCCCACATCCGTTTTCCAACACATTTAAGAGCGACAAAACCCTCTCTCCATTGCCAATGTGACGGCCAGTTCAGGACTGCAGGGGAGATGGGAGCATTTAAACACATGGGGGGAAGAAAGCCTGGGATTTTCCTGCCAGCAGCAGAACAGAAAATGGCAACTTGTCAAATCACGTGGCGTCAAACACTGCCAAACTGAGGGAGCCTGGCCCGACAGCCCTCGCACGCTCCGGGCAGGGGGAGCCCGCTGGGGAAGCGCAGCAGCTCCCGAGGTTTTGGACTGGAGACCATCAGCTTGTAAAAGCCAGAACCTGCGTGAAGCGCCGGATGCCCCAGCACCGCCTCCCAACAGGCAGGGCCACACGCAGCCCCACACCAAAAATAGCACAGAGCTCACACACTGTACGCGCTCGCCCTGCGCCACCAGGCACTTCCACTTCCTTCTGGCATGTCAGGAATCCGGTCTAAATGTCACACCTTATATCAAGGCACGGCCAGAGCACCGCAGCTAGGACATGAGACTTTTCCAACTTGCTAAATAATCCCCACAGTAGGTCAGGATGGGATTAAGACACCAAGGGGAGAGAGCAGGGGTCAGTCAGCTCTCCAAATCTGCATCCTGCCTTGATTTATGGAAAGCTCCTGGTAAAGATCGGGGAGATGAGGACAAGAATGAACATACACACTCGCCTACCTTAAAAAAAAGCCAAGGACAATCAATTTATTCTACTTGTTCGCATTAGGGTCCCAGGGCAGTTTTAAACCACCTTGTTTCTCTAGCCAGGACAAACAACCCTTCAGTATACACATCCTTTTAAGGTTAGAAATGTTAGCAGCACGAGGTTCACAGAGAAGCCAGATAATTAATTCTCAAGGTCCAAGCTGAGCAAGCACTCGCTCCAGGTTTTCAGAGCTCTCTACACACAAGAAGGTCTGTTCTGGGGGCAAGCTGCTTCAGGTCTCTACAAGAAGCCAGAGACAACTCCCAGAGTGACTGAGCCCCCGTGATGTGCAGGGACGCAGCCCCACAGCGCTGCCGGTCCCTGCCGCCCCCGCTTCCCTTCGGCCCCAGCACTTGAGAGGCTATGCTTCCAAACCCTGAAAGCAGGGGAAATCAGGCCTAGAATTAAAGACTGTCCTGAAGGATCACAGAGCAGACAAGCAGACAGCTAAACTGTAAATGTAGCTTCAACAGCAAGGCCAGGATGCCTCCCTACAAACCCTATAGTTAGTGACACAGCGCTCAGGAAAAAAATACGATCTGGGTGAAAGAGAACTGGACAAGGTTGGCAAAGTTTAAACTAAATGGGACCACGTGGGCTCTTGAAATTTTCCATGCTAAAAATAACCAGTAGCACATGCTCTGCCTTATAGGAGGCATAAGAAAAGGGGTTGACAAAACCTAAAGAACTGGAGGCCCTACCATTAAGAGAAATTACTGCAGAGAAACAGATATAGGAAGACTTACTTGGCCTACCCCTAGCATAAGGCATATTTTCTTCAAAAGCTGAACTGGCATGTGGCATTGCAATACCTAAACTGCAGCTTCTTTGTTTTTCATACAGAGATAAAGGAGGCAGACAGTCCACAATGGAGAGACCACCTGCTTCTTCCAGGTCCTGCTGGAAAGCCTCTCTGGAACGCGGTCCAAACTGGAAAGCAAAGAGTTTTTCTATCCACGCAGGTTAGCATCTCAGAGGCTGACCTTCCAGGGCAGATCTGTAAGGTCGCAGTGGCCTGCAGTGCCACTGGGCTGCTAGCCATCACACACCCCTGGTCACCAGCGTGTCAATCAGCCACGAGACTGTGCAGCCTCTCTCAGAATCTCCTCCCAGGCCAGCCTGGTGTACCACCACCACAACAAACATCACCCAGACGTGAGAGCTCAGAAAGCATGACTCAGTCACTACAAACATCCAAAGACAGGTAGGAGCCAGGCAAGCAGGATCTCAAACTGGATGGCATATAATTTAAAAAGAAATGAACAGTTAAGTTTGTCTATACTTAAAGCTGAGTGTTCTGCAGCAATTTCTGCTTCAAACACCAGTATAGAAAGACAAAAATGGCAGAAGATGCCCCTTAAGCAATATCAGCTTTTCACAGCCCAGTTAACATGGGCTACAGAGCTCAAGAATCAGTCTCCTCTCTGAATGAAAACTACTAAGGAAGTCATTCCACAACCCTATAACATTTAAGAACCAACTGTCTTATTTGCAGAGGGATAAATTATGTCATAAGTAAAAGGCTGAAAAAGCTGGTTGTTGTAGAGCTAAACTAGAGCTCTGGAACAAGAAAAATCACCAACACCAGACTGTCTGTTATCTCCAAGATAAAAACTGCTTTCAGTATAATCAGCTTCACCCATGTTCCTACAACAGCTCACTCTCCTCCTTTGCAGCTGAAGCTGCTACACCAATGGCCCAGGCTGTATTAGTATTTCATTTTCAGTCGCTGCTTTTGTGTATTTTCTCCTGCGCAGGAGCCAAGCAGCGGCCCAGCACAGCTCCAGCAGCATCACTTCTAGGCCAAAGCAGAACTCGGAACACTTTCTGTTTACACACTCAAAAGCAGAGGTTTACAATAAAAGTATCAGACTAGGCAAACTGTAGGGCTTTGTTACAAATATTTTGGAAATCACCAAGAAGCTTATATATTTGCAAACACTGACCACCAGTAACCCTCACCATCCTGTACTGCTCTTGGACTATTGCAAGGCCCTGAGCTGATCACTCCTACTATGCAATGTCACAGGTTACACTTTGTAATTAACATTAACCCTATCAGATTATCAAGCTCCTTTCTGCACTTTATATCTTATTACCTTCCTGCTCCAATCGTTTCATTATTTATAGTTTCCTCAACCAAGCTAGTGTCTCCCTGTGAATCCTCTATTACAGAGGAAGGCAAGATCATTTTTTCACTGCTTTGCCAGCAAGGTACCTCAGATACAGAAGCAAATTTCAGAAACTGCTTCTGCATCACTTTACCAATGCCACCTTTATCGTTCTCGGCTATTCCTCAAAATCTGGTGGAGTTTGTGTTTTGGGGTCTTTTTTGCCAGTTTTGGAGTCCGCTCCAGAAACAGAGCCAGGCAGACCAAATGTTCTGCTGCTCTAAGCTAGCTAAAACAGTTTAGCACATAAGCCAGAGGCCACGCGACCTTTCTACTATGACCTGGCTTTAAACTGCAGAACAAGTCCTCTGATTCAGAATAACCCCCTCTGCGCACAGGTATTCCACAAAACTCAGGAGCAGAGACTAAACTAACTAATATACTCTGCACACAAAAAACAGACTTGAATTTTCAAGGAGACAGAATGGTGATGTTTATATCACAACACACTGATACTGCTGTAAGAGACAGCGAGAAGAGAGGCAACGCTAAGACCAAACAGGTACTTGGAGAACAGCATCAAGACTGGCTCACTAGGAGGTTTGCTGGGAGCAGCAACGAGACCTTGATAAACAGCTTCTCAAAACAAAAGCTGGGCTAGACTTAAACAAAAAAGCAGTGTTGTTCAGATGGAAGCCTTGTGCCCAGAGCTTGGCTTGCTGAGAGTAATCCACAGAAGCACACAGAGAGGAAGAATATCAAACATTTGTGAAAAAGGCGCTCTATATTCATCTGTGCTAAGAAGGAACAGCAAAGGTTTCACTAGGAGTCATTTAGACTGAACAAGCAGGAAGGTAATTTGTATGTATTAGCAAGCTTGCTACAAGAAGTTACACAACATATTTGAGACCTAATCAGAGAGACATGCTTTACTTTGATCTGTATTACAGTAGCACCTACAAGCCCTCGCCCAAATTACGCTACGAGCCCTTCTGCCCAGAAAAGCTTCCCCCAAAGATTGCAGGCTGCCCACTTTCCTCAGCTTTGGCAGTCCTTTCTTTGAAAAGCAAAGCCAAGACACAGATTAAGTAACCCTCCTACAGTCACACTGAGTTGGAAGAAACACAAGAAATAGAAAATAGGTACTCCAACTCAAGAGACAGGAGCCTCTTTACCAGGCAGCAAACAGAACACCATACTCCATTCAACTTGAAATAGGTTAGGGAAGTGACATGCAAATTTCTTCCCTGCACCCCTGAACACACACACACAAAAAATTCCTAACCCTGCATTTCAACAAGAAATGGAATACAAGTCCAGGCTTATAACAAAAAAGGCTCCTCTTTAAGGAAGGGGAACCGCAGGGCCACAGCCCTCAGACTTATGGGAATACACACTCCAATCCTTGTTCCAGAGACTTCAGGTTTCCAAATCACAGATTTGTCCCTATGCAAAGCTAATGCCTCTGATACAAGAGGCACATGCAGATCATGAGCTTTTGCCAGGAACTGCTGCTATTTATACACAGGGAGTCCAAATCAGCTAAAGCACATGGTAGGTTTCTCATCCTCATTGCCAGGTGGCAGCAGAGGTCAGAGGCAATCAGCTCCTCTTCAGGTCCACCAGCAGTGATTTGTTTGCTGAAGAAAGACTTTGGGTCATCTTTTGTGAAGTATTCGACTCTGCTAATAGCAATGTACAGGGGCCAATAAATTCAGAGTCAGCTTCCAGGCAGGGTACAAAATGCAGGAGTGGCAGAGTTAAACAGAATCCATGTAGTGGACAATAAAAAAAAACCACAGTAAAGCAGCTGAAGGTGGATCATTTGCAAATGCAGTGAGTGACAGGCAAACATATCACCTTCAGCAATCTCCATAAGGACCAAATTCAATAGCCTTAATTTCCAAAAATATTAAGCACCTGCTGAATAAAAAAAAAGCTTTTACCAAGTATCTGAAAGTGGCTGACCAAAGTTAATCATCACTTCATGAAGTTTAACCAGCCATTTGCATTAAGAGTTCCACAGAAACACTGTAGTTGGAAATCAGGAATGAAAAAAGGCTATTCATTATATCAGAAGCATTAAACAATTACAAGTAATTAATGTTTTAATTAATGTTTTTTATTACTTCTAGATGTTACTATGGGCAACTGGGATACCAGCCCTGATCTTATTACAGTCTCCCTGGACAGTAGAGATAACTGATGTGAAAAAAATATTTGAGGTAAGTGCACACGAAAGATGAGAGCCATAGATAATTGCGGTATGTCGCTTTTAAAGCATTTATGCTCTTCGGATAACTCTACTACTGCAGAAGTATCCTTGCTCTCAAATACTCCTGAAGTCAGCCTGCAACATTTTCAAGATGAACACAAGAGTCTCAATGCAGCAAATCAACTGCTTCTGGCTCTGACCAGCTTTGGCTGCAGGCCTCAAACAAACTCTCTCCTGTCACAGTTCATTTCCAAGAGAATCTGCAGGAACTGGGAACCTACATGCCATGGTGGATCTGAATGGCGGGTACCTTCATCTCACACCCCGGGTGGTGAGGGGAATTCCTCTTGTCTAATTTCAGGCACTGTGGAAGGCTAAAGCCAAGGCTTTCTAGAGAGTTGATGATTTTCAATATTAGTATCTCAAAGCATCTCCAGAGATCTTTAGGAAAAAATCTCATTCCTGGGACTGGTATCTAAACTGAGCACAACTAAGGAGAACACACCCAAGTACAAAGCAGCTACCAGAACACACAACAGCACCATCCCTGCGGACCCTCCAAATCTAACAACATAAGTTGTTTCACATCTAAGAGCAAACAGCCTGTAGCCCTGTTGTACTAGACACTGTTAGAATCACGGTGAGACTCACCTGCCTAAATCCCCTAGAACTAGCATCCCATGAGAGCTCTTAAAAGTCCTTTAAGAGCTCAGTGAAACCCTGAAACACAAGCTGAGGGGCTGTCAGATGAGTGGGACCAGGACAGAAAGTGATGCGGTGAGAAGGTGGATTCTAGCAAGCTTCAAGCACAGCTCAAGTTCTACAGGCTTTTTGCTCCTTTTAACTTACAAAAATGTTGTCGTTTCCTTCGGTGCACTAGGCAGCACATGCAAACAAACCAATTAATCAAGAAGTAAACTGTGCCATCAAGATACACATAGTGAAGCTGTACTATCCTTTTTCAGGATCACAGGTGCGTTGAGATTACTAGTTGACAGGCACAGTAGCTCGGCAGATGCCTGAACAGAATTTCACCCTTTACACAGGAAGCTCATTAAAGAATTAAGAGGTTAAGTGACTTGAACTGGGTCACAGAGTGACCCCCCGGCAGAGGAGCAAGGTCAGCTCAGTTGCTCCAACAGCTCTGGCCCATGTGCTACCAAAAAAAAAGCCATACCTCCCTCAGGAGCAGCTGTGCGTGCCATGTGCTCTGCTCGGCTCTACCACGCGCACATGTAGGGCTGTAACTCAGTAGATCATTCACAAGCACAAGGCAAACAGGAGAAAAGTAAAGTTACCATCTCCTGCTACTACTTTCCCCAGCAACAAGCCATTTCCTTTCACCTGAGACAAAGTCCACAGAGGCTCCGATAACACTCAGCAGGTGCTAGCACAACCGCCGACCCGACCAAGGCAGCACATCACCCTGGGAACACAGAAAGTCAGAATTATTTCCATTCTGCAGCCCCTTACTTTTCCTTAACAGACAGACTGCGGTCAAATGCAGCTTTTGTTGTCGTTTCCTGCTGTTACAGGTAATTTTCATGAAAAAGATGCCCTTACTGAGATGCCTATTCATTTGTGTTCCCTGCTTCATGGTATAACTTACTAGACTGTGATAAAGAACTTAACCAGACACAGATCAAGTTGCCTGATTCTGGAATGTGAGTAACTTAGATCTGGCTTCAAGGAGGGGGAAGAAAAAGAAAAAAGAAAAAAAAGTCAGACAACAAGGATTCTTCCAGGACAGTAAGGCTATTGGCTCTTCAGTAGCAATATAATTTACTTCCTTTGCTCTTGACTATATTCCATGCTAGCTTGCAGACAGAGAGAAGCCACTGCAATATGAAAAGTTTGCTAATAACAGTTTTTATCAGCTATTACCATAACATAAGCCTTGCCATACCAGACATATGAGACAACACAAGGCATCCTTAGCCTTTACTACCAAGTCTGCACCACTTATGTCACTGCTCGCTTTCCTTTCTAAGCGGCTACAGCAGGTTGCAGCGGGAATGAATCACGTTTAATACCGACTCACGCGACTCCCGTGGCCTTGCGCGGCTGTCTCTCCCGTGAACGTCCCGGCTTTGCTACGGTCGAGTGGGAAATCAGGAAGAAAACACGCGGAAAAACCGCGGAAAGGCTCCGAGCTGCCGCTCGCTTGGCCGGGAGCCTTCGCGCCCCGCACACGGCGCAGCCCCACCGAGGGCGGCCCGGGGGTGACCCCGGGGCCGGGGCTGACCTTGGGGGGCAGCGGCACGGCCGGGAGGTGCGGGACGGCTCCGCTGCAGCCCGAGGAGCGCGGCCCGGGCCCCGCCACCGGCCCCGCCACCGGCCCCGCCGCGGGGAACTGACAGCCGGGGCGGCGGGCTCCGCCGCTCGCCGAGAGCTCGGGCGCCGGCCGGCCGCGGTACTTACAGCTGGTGCGGTGCCGGTGCCCGAGCAGGTCCCGGTCCCGGTCCCGGTCCCGGTGCCGGTGCCGGTCCCGGTGCCGGTGCCGCCCCCGCCAGCACCGAACCCACGTGCAGCCCGGCCGGGCCGGGCCATGCAGCGGCTCCCACCGCCCCGTCCCGCCCCTCTCGCGAGAGCGCCAACTCCCGCGAGACCCGTCCGCCACCTCCCTCAGCGCCGCGTCTGCGCACTCGGCGCTCTCGCCGCCGGTCCCTGAGGGCAGCGGCGGGGCGGTCGCTGCCGTTGCGGTCTCCGCGCTTTCCCTTCGCGGTCTCCGCGCTTTCCCGTTGCGGTTTGTTTGCCTTCCCATTGCTGTGGTGAGCGGGAGGGGGGAGGAGCCTCGGATGACGTATCCGCGCCGCCTCGTTCCACGCTCTGCGTGAGGGGAGCGGAGCCGCCGAGGCCTGGTCAGGCCTGGTCGCGGTGCCGGGTCCCGCTCTGTCTCTCCGCCCCGGCGGGGAGCAGCCCATCGCCGCGCCGGGCTCCAGCCCGGGTCTCACCAGCAGCCCAGGACCTGCTGTCGTGGAGGGTTTCCCGCTTGCCCGTGGGCGCCCCGGCGGCCTGGCGAGCGCTTCTTGCCCCTTCGCACCCGCCCGGCCCGTCTAGTGGCGGCCCTTCGCCCCACGGCTCCTGCGAGGTGGCGAGCTGCCTCCTCCCTTACTGGTAGGACCTGCTGTGCATTTGCTTCGGCCAGTCCCGGGGGGATATGAGTCACCCCTTCAAAGGGCGAAGGGTGGCTCTTTGCTCCTCATCCTTCTCATTGTCCTTAAAGGCAGCATCTGAGCACCCTCATCCAGCTGCTCAACCCTGTTCTCTGTTGGGATCATTGGGCTCATCTCAGCCCTGGAGCCAAAGATCTTGGTTGTCTCCTAACGCAGCCAGACACTGCTAGCTCCCACCGTGCCATTCAAACAAGTAAATAGAGGGGAATCTGTGCTTTATACAAAGTTTTAGACAGATGCTGCAAATGCTTAGCTGATGACAAAATGTTAGACAGTAAGCAAACATATTAGCTAGCAGCTGCAGCAGTGTGGGGGTAGAGCTGCTGTCTGCCAAGGCTGAACCAGAATGAGACATGAAAATCCATGTTCGGGCGAGGTTACTGCTTAGCTGCAGCAGCACAAAGCTGGAATTAATGGAGACTTTCATTTTATTGCTAAATACTAGCAACGTTTCCCTCGAGAGCTTTTTGCATCCTTAAAGAAAATATGGTGGGTAAATGATTTCTGCGTCCCAAGGAATCTCTGAGGCTTTGGTGGGGGGTCACGCAGTGGAAAAGCGTGGCTTGTTGCTGGCGCTGGAGAGCTCTTTGGGGCAATGGGGCTGGTTTGACAGGAGCTTTCGGGACAGCGCTGGGCGAGTCACTTGGAGGACACCGTGGGAAATAGATGCAGTTATTCTGAGGAGCTTGGGAGTTTGCACACCAGACTAGTATGAGAGAGGAAAAGGATATGGGGTGTGGCTGGAGCAATCTGGGAAGCAGCCATGTCTTGGGGGGGAAAAAGGTGCTGACCTTTATGGGGGAATCATTGTTCATTTGTGTTAATAACACCGCACCGCCCAGGAGGGAGGAGGTTGGCCCCCACGCTGGGTCTGCGTGGGAAGAGCTGTTTGGGAGCGGTGGATCCTCTCTCCAGATAATCCAGCACAGTTGTATGGAAAGGTGTGGTGTCACGGGATTCGTCTCCTTCTGGGTGCTTCTCCTGCCTGTGCAGCCTGGCACTGTGTTCGCTGCTGCTGCAAACTGGGGGGCCCCGGCTGTAGCTGGGCACGGGGGGGACCCTGGGGAGACTGCGGTACCCGTGCTGCTTCAGGGTATGGTTCTGCATTGTGTGCAACAGAGACTGTTCTTGGTTTGTCACTGGACCTGCCAGTGGTAACAGAGATGGCTCTGGATTTCCCAGTGGAACAACTTAGGCTGCTTTTTTATCTTTGGGCAACTCAGAGGGAAGAAATAGGCCAGGAAGAGATGGGTCATGCAGGAGTGCTTTGGGGCAAGAAAAGGTAGCAGGGAAGAGCAGAGCAAGAAGTGATACAATAAACCAGAGTAATTCCTGGTGGTAACTGGTGAGGGCTGCAGCAGTGTGGGAAAGCATCGGTCTCCTTACAGCTGTCAAAGTCTGAGCTTCCTTTTCATGCACAAGTAATAGATTACTCCAAAATTAGCCTCCCTCCTTTTTCCAGTAACCAGGTCCTTCGTTCTGCAGAGCCCTTTCCATTCCTGTGAGCTTGCCTGGCTGTAAACCACATGCTCTACACGATGTAATGATGCAGGAAATCTTCTGTTGTAAACACCTTAACAGCGGGACACCAGGGTGGTTTTATTGGCCAAGCTAGCCAGGCTGTTGATTTACACGTGCGCAGCGAGCAGTCAGTACATTAGAGAGTATAAATCAGTAATTTGGAAAAAGCACAGAATCATGTCTGAGTAGGATTGTCCTTCCTGAATTACTAATTTGTATATTTTTCTGTGAAAAGTCCCTGATTTGCCTCAGTCTTTTTGTTTAGAGCTGTCAGAAATTAATAATAAATATCTGCTAAGAGACTACATGCCAAACATTAAGTGGGGAAAATACAGCAATGCTAAGACTTTGCCCTTCTAATGTCTTTAATCTGAAGATCTCAGAGGTTTGTTTCTTTAGAATTCTGCCAACTGACAGCCATCCTTGACTGTTACAGTTGGGCAATTCGGGCTTTTATGATGCCTCAGCTTAAGGTGTTCAGAGATTTGTCCGAGGTCACAAAGGGCCCAAGGTGACCATAAACGTTTTAGGCTCTCGGGACAACGCTGGTGTCTTGCTCTGTGTGCAGTGCACAGCTGAGCTCCTCCAGCAGCCAAAGTCTGTCAGCTTTACTATATTGAAAAGAAAAATATATTCTGTGGAGGAATAATAAAATTATACTGATGTCAAATAGAACAAACACCGCTAACAGAACAACTAACTGCTTCTGTGTCTGACAAGTCACGTTCTTCTTGCAGAAACAGTTCGTGTCTCTGAATTTTTCATGAGTGGGAGACCAGTTTCTAGCCTGCAAGTTCAATTTTCATGGTGATCTTAAAAGCAAACAAATGTTCCCAGCAAGAAAAATTGGCACCATACAAAGTAAAAGAATTGCTGAAAACAAACCCAGGTAAGGTATGCCAGCATCCTCAAGGCCAATTTATTCTTCTTTGTTGTAAATTAAAGCTATACCATTAGCATCTCAAACCGAACTGGAATGTTGAGGCGGGCAGAGGTGTACTTGCCGAGGTGCTTTGCAGGGTGTTTGATCCAGCCCTCGGAGCGCTGCAGCAGTCGGCGCTCGCCTGCGCTCGCCCGCCCGCGGCCGCTCTCCTGCCGCTTCTGTCGGCGGCGAGGGCCGTGGCGCCGTGCCCAGCGCTGCCGTGCCGCTGGCGGAGCAGGCAGGGGCATGGAGCAGGAGGTTTTCCCTCTTACAGGAACTGCCCGAGACCAGGAGTTAAAAACAAGGAGGGGCCTGGCTAGAGGGAGAGCAGCGCAGAACCAGCCCTGGAGAAGAAGCTGCAGGGCAGCCTGCAGACGGCCAGAGGACACGGAGCTGGCGACGGCCTCTGCTGCTCTTCCCCTGAGCATCCGTTCACGTGAGTGACTCAGCCGGCAGCGGGCTTCAGCGCGGAGGCAGCCTTTGCTCTTTGATCCCTGCTGCACGGAGACTTAGCTGCTAGGTGTTTTGGGCAAAAGCAGAAACTCCTTCCCTTGTGTTTTGACCCACCCCAGTGTTTGTACTGTGGGGCCTCCAAGCCTTTGTGTGTTCTGCCTTGCTCCGTGCCAGCCCCTGCTCTGGCTCAGAGCCGCTGTTTCTGCCCTGTCTCTGGCCCGTGTTCAGTCACGCCTGGCTCCAGACAGTTGGGTGGGTCTCACACTACGCAGGACTTCTCGTTGCACCCTCTTTGCGTGTGCTACCGCTGCGAGGAGAGCGAAGGGCTGTCTCCCGGGGAGTGCCAGGGGGCAGTTAGGAAAGGGAATCACCAAGCACGGGGAAAAAAAAAAACCCGGCTGCTACTGCAAAGAGCTGGGGAGCACAGCTGCAAGCGGGGGAACTTCCCAGAAGGCAGATTAGGGCCCAGGGACTGGAGCCCAGGACGGGCGAGGCCGAGGCACCGCTGCCCCCTCGCATCTGAAACGTGAGCAGCCAGGGGAAGCGGAGTTAATGAGCTGAGGCTTGGAAAACGCATTCCCAGGCAGGCCTGGCTCCAAATCACCGCTTCTGGACCCGCCCCGGCATGTGCCAGTGTCTTCGCAGGCCGTGGAGGAGGTCTGGCTGACCAGCTCTGCTCCGGTTTGTGTAATGTGTTCTACTGGGCAGCTGGATCTCCTGGGCACACCTCGTTCTCGAAGTACGCTAACCAGGGGTAGAAGCAGCAGAACAGATATTTCTAGTTTTTCTGAAGGACAGCATGCTATGAGAAAAAAATTTATAGTTTAGTAGTTCAGTGGGATTGTCTTGAACATATAGTTAGCTACTCATTGCTATTTATAGCAGTATCATTTGAATATCCCTGAAGATGCAGTCATCCAACTTTTTTCATTACTGCTTTGAAGAACAAACCCATACTTGTTTTAACAAGTCACATCACGGGAGATGCTATTCTGCACTCTCCACCCACACAACCCTGAGATTTATTTTCATTTGTGAGCTTGTTAAACACAGCAGCAGTCAACTGAAGAAACCAATGTTTCAAGAGACAAAGGATTCACACCTGTAAATCATGAGCTTTAGTGGAGGGAAAGGACCAGCCTGGCTTTGAAACGGAGCGGTCAGTAGCGCCGCAGAGCTACGAGAGGCCGGCTTTAGTTTTCAGTCCTGTGACACCGAGGGACTCACCATGTTTTTATCCGTTTAGGTTCGGGTATTCTCTGTCCGCCTTTCCCACAGAGATGGGGCTAAGGGGAGGGTAGAAAAATAAACAGCACTTGCCAGTGGCCCAAGTGACCGCCCTGCAGTGGAATTCAGTCCTAGGGCCGGACGCGCGAGGCCGGCTCTCGCCCTGCCTGGCACACGTGTGTGTGTGTGGGGGGGGGGGGGGCTGCAGCAGCCCTGCCCAGCCCCTGCTCCCCTCCGCCCACCCTGGCTGCCGGGAGAGGGGCCCAGCTCACCGCGGGCATCGCCCCGCGCCTGCCCCCAGCAGCAGCCGCCCACCCGCCCCGGGAAGGGGCTTCTGCTCTTCATGGGCGTGCGTGGCGCGGCAGTTTTTCAGTGTGCTTGTCTGCTGTTAAGGAAATTGGAAGTTCTGTATGAGCCTTCTGGGAGATCTAAAAATACGAATATATTGAAGGCTTGTTATTCCAAGCCAGAGGTCTTTGGAAATATTTATGCCAGAGAGACAGCTTAATATTTATAAATTAGCCATGCACATTATGGGTCACTCTTATTGCCTGTGAAAAACAACTTCCTTTCTCCTCCTCCTTGTACAGTTTTGCCTACTTAATGCTAGAACAGAATTTTTACCTCTGCATCAAGGAAGTTCTGAATTTTCACTTTGCTAATTCTTTTCCTTTGTAAAATATTTGAGCAGTACCAGCACCAGCTGGGCAGGGATTTTGAAACTACTTCCCGAGATAGATCTGCTTGCTCCAAAGGTGCAATTTTTTTCCCTAAATAGCATTTTTACAACCTGCATAAAGACATAACTAAAAATTCCTTCTCCTTGCATTTCCTCACTGCGGCTACAGCGTGTTCTGGGATCTCGAGCAGCAGGCAGGCTCACCTCTCCAAAAGAGGAGCTTCCAGAATGTTTTTAGCAGCAGTGAGGTGGTAGATGGCGCTCAGGAAACAGCCCCTGTACGGCTCCCGCTCTCAGTGCTGCTCTGTCTGATTCGGGATTAACGACCACCTCCCCCGAGGTAAGCAGGAGGTGCTCCTGCGGGGTCCCGGCCCTCCCTGCTGGCCCCAGGAGCCCCGCCGAGGCCCCTGCCCGCTTCCATCTGAACAGGCCTAACGGTACGGCCAGTGTGCAGGAACAATAAGATGTCTCAGAAGAAGTCAAGGCAGTCACGCTTTAATGTGTTTTTACATCCTTTTACGATTCACAAAGCCAGAATATAAGTACTTATACATTTTTAATAGGAAAGTAATATATTCCCCTAAAAGAAAAATAGATTTGATTAATCATTTGTCATAAAAGTTGCCTGACAGTTGAAACTTCAAGCTTCTAAGCTAGAAAAGCTCAAATAGACAAATTATACTGAAATGTTCTTTAAAGACCAAGCAGCTGTTTTATTAAAATATTAAATTTACATTTTAAAAAGAAATATTCTGATTTATTATTCACTTATGATAATCTTTTTGAAGTGACATGAAATTCCTGACAATGGGCTTTATTCTGCCCGAATTCTGTCCTCGGTTTCCCACAGGCAATCAGCCTTGCCATCATTTAGAGCTGCGCGAGATCACGCACACAGAGAAGCACCTTTTTCTGGGAAGACAAATCCCAGACACTGGATTTCGGTCCCATCCTGGTTTTCCCCAGAGCCCGGGGTGCCAGGGCTGGGACCAGGGCCGGCTCCTGCGCCTGCTGCCACGGGGGCCCTGGTTCCGCCCCACAGAGCCCCTCCAGGCGACAGAAAATGGATTTCAGAATACACCAACTTCGGCCCGCAGCACACGTGAATGACCTTCGAACAACTTGGAGCAGGTTGAATTTACAGTTTACTTCAAAAAAAGGGGAAAGTACATACATGAGGGGAAAAGGGGGTGAACAACAATGACCTGAACCCAGGTTTCTGCCATTTTTACCTACAGTTCCCAACTGCGTTCGCTCCAGCAGGGCTCGCGCCAGCTGCCGCACGCTTGCTTACGCTCTCAACAGGATCGTGGATCAAGGACACAGTTTCAAAGTTGAGGCCCAAATGGAAATAGTAAGATATCATACACAGTGTAAGTTTATAGTACACAGCATTTTCTTTTTAAATGACGTAACGCAACAGCAGGAAAGAGGAGGAGTAGTAGTAGTTAACAGTTACTAACACTAGAATATTCAAATTTGTATGTTATACATATACAGCAACTAACTGCTTTACAAAAAAAGCAAAATAATACAATATATTGTCACATGTATTTACAGTGTAGTAAATATACTTTTCTGTCAAATTTTACACAAAAACTATTTACAGGTGAATATACTGCATTAAAAAAAAACGGTGGGACCAACACTAAAAGTGACTTTCTGTGGTAAGTTCGTCGCATAACAGTAAGACGTGCTTCATTACAGTTGAAAAAAAATTAACCTCAGAATGAAACAAAAAAAAAGCCCTAAAACCTACAACCCAGTTAGGAATAGAGCACTGGAACGCTCCCAGGTGCTCAGTCCACAATACGCAATTGAAACGGTTCCTGTTCGTGGAAACCTCATGCACATTAAAGCAGAAACATTGGCATCATTAACAGGTAGGTTATGCACTATTCTCAAATACTACTGAATTCTCTTAAGTCAGGGAAAACACAAACACAAACAAAACGTTAATCATCTTTACAGTACTTAACTGTAGTTAGTGCGTTATGGATAACGTGTTCCAAAACAGGGGTGTCAGACATCCAGTCCCCATGATGGGGTTCTGTGGTCCACATCTTAAAATGGGGTTTTTCTGACTCGAAGTTGTCATTTCAGGGGAGGCAGACCCCGCGGCTGCAGAGCCAGGCTGCAGGAGGGGCCCCGCGAAGCCGCCGGCTCCCGCTCGGCCTTTGAGCTCTGAACCCCCCCCCGGTCAGCAGCGAGTCCCTGCTGAGCCCCGCGAGCCCCCGCGGCGGAGCAGGACCCACGGGAAGGGGGAGCAGGGAACGAGGAGGAGAGCAGAAAGGCCAAGCAACAGCAGCGGCTGTTAGCGGGAGCAGGCGAAGCGACGGATGTGACAGTAAGGCACTGAACAACTAATTACTAGGAGGAGTTTAATCATTAAAGAAAGGCCGTGTTTTCCCCTGATCCAAGCACAAGCTTCCCAACTCCTGGTAGTGGGGGATAACGTCCCGGTGGCTGGGGCGCACGGGCTCCGGGATTGAACCTTGGCCCTCGACTCTGACACCCAAGTTCAGCCCCCACGTGTCTGACACCCCTGCTCTAAGAAATTCAGCTCCTCTCACTGAACCACGGGTGACAGCATGAAACGACTCTCCCTCCTTCCAGGAAATAGAGTAAATTACATTTTGTTGGCTGACTTTATGAAGATAACGTTTTTTTTTCAGCTGGGACCAAGAGCCTGGAGTAGTTCTAGTTCTCACGTGAAAGGTAATTTTAATCACTGTCTACTCTGATTTCACATTACATGCTTTTCAAAGAATGCATTCATCCTAATTTAGGGACGCTTTCTTTTTTTTTTTTATAGAGACAATGCCAAATATTGAAAGAGTTGTCCTCAAGCGCACCCAGCCCGAACCAAACCGATCGGGTAGTTCAGCTGGAATTACTATTGCCACGTAAAGAAAATCTGCTCGGAGTATAAACGACTGAAAACTAACAGCAAATTACCAGAGATCCTTTTTTCCTCCTACCTACAAATCTTCTGGCTTCTACAGTTCATTGTCTTCGGCAAAACGGAAAGGGCGGGCTGGGCCGGGCCGGGCGGCAGCGCCAGGGTCGGGAGCGGAGCAGCCCCCACGGCCGCGCAGCTCCCCGCTCCGCTCCTGCCCCCGGCTCCAGCCCCACCGCCAGGACAAACAGCTGCTTAATTGCACGAGGCTTCGTATTTTCCGACTGCTAATTCTGTTTTCTCTTGTTTTAGCAAGCTATTTGCATATTAAGTTTGTGTTCATAGTTTTTCCAGGACTGTAAACAAATTAAAGAAATTAAATTGTTATTTTTATGAATTGATACAATAAAGGTATTTTTATTTACATAAATGTTACATTGTTACTGCGTGGATACATGTGAATTATGTGCTATATCAATAAAATCCGAACACGTAATTGTACCATTCTCTAATAATTTAGCTGTGGAGTTTGATTTACTGAAAGCCACTAACAAAATTGCACTAGAGGATTTTTTTTTTAATAGAGTGGATATACTTTTTTTTTTTTTTTTCCTTTAAAGCCACTTACAGACTGTTAATTTCTAACAGACAACAGGGATCTGTGGGTGGGAAGCTCGGCAGGGGCCGCCGGGAGCCCCTTCGCGTGGGTCCCCGCGCTGCGCCCGTACGCGTCCTCGACATAGCAGCACCTTCTGCAGCCGCCCGGCGCTGAGGCACGACCGCAGCCGGCAAGTCTTTCACAGTGACAGCAAGTTCAGTTCTGTGGAACCCCCGAGTACGAACCCTCCCAGACTAAAACCCCCTGAAGTTCTGCAGGACAGGCGCGACCGCAGAGCTCTGTACTGAGAGCAGGAATTGCACTGCAAACATTCAAACGTAACCTGGATTTGACACAGTGTCAGTTAGTTTTAAATTCATGTACCTTAAGCAAACGTTGCTGTATTCACATCCCTGCTCGGGCAGCGCAAAAGCAGCTTTGCCGAACACAACCTCCCAGAGCTGGAAGTTAATTCATTAAATTTTCCCCTCCAGACCCCGCTGGTTATTCTGCCAGGAATTTCTCCAAGGTGCATACTGTCGGGAAGGGCAAAACTAAAGTGTATGCTAAATGGAAGAAAGAAGCGATACATTTTCGACACTGCTACAACAACAGCGTAATAGTCAGTTCTCCATGATTTTCTTTCCACTATACAACCTTTTTTAGTGCAGTTGAAGTACAGCAAAAAAAAAAAAAAAAATTTTGCTTTGGAAAAAAGCCAGTTTGTCCAGTCTGGTCCATGTACAGTCCAAGTGTGTGAAGCTATGGTCTGGGGAATGAAAGAGACTCATGCAGCCCCCTTGTCCTCTCAAATTTATTGCTAATTACTAGAAATTTAATCTAATCAACCACTTCTGGTTAAGCTCATTTTACGGCGGCTATCATAAGTTTCTTTTAAGTATGGTAAAAAAAAGTCCACAGCTAAAAATCTTAACAGGTTTGAATTAAAACCAGGACTATAGTAACTTCCCCCGGCTCATAAAGCCACTACCTTGAAAAGTGTGCAAACGGGATTAAGGATTAACACTTTCCTTTAGAGAAGAAACAGAGGCGGCGGATAACAGAAGCAAGGTAGACCTGGCTATGGGAAATGGCTTTCGTATTTGGACAAGATACGGTTCTGCAGTGCTCGAGAAGTCCACGCCTCCTTCGGCTGCAAAGTCCGTCAGCATCTATACGAGCAGTTCTGAAACACTGGCTTAAACCAAAAACAGAAGGAAAGAAATGAAGGCATTAAAATTCAGGCAATGGTTCAAGAGTTGATCATCTGGCAACACGGCTGACGGGATGGGAACTTTAAAAATTAAGTGCAGCATCACAACTGGCGGAGGGCCCTTTGCGAGAGGCCCGCGTGTGTCAGTCAGTTTTCCCCCCCCAAAAAAAAAAACAAAATTTAAAAGAAATAATCACACAATCTTTTTGATGCTGGGACGTTTGAAACTGCCAGCGCTTCGCTGCTTTTGCACTTGGCTTGCGGAGCCGTGGCGCATCCTCCCGCTGTTGGAGTGTCCGGTGGTGGGCGAGAGCTCCACGTTCTCCTTGTCGATCCCTGGGGAGACACAAGGACGAGGTTAACGCTCCCCGCTCCGGCCGGCCCGGGACGCGACGCTCCGAGGGCGGCTTTGCCCGCGGACACGCGGGTCAGCGCCCCGGCCCCGACACGGGGCAACGGCAGGAGGAAAACGACGGTGCCCTTGGGGCGGGAGGTGCCGGGGAGCCCCGAGTGCCGCCCGCTCCGGCCTCCCCCCGGCCCCGGGTGGGCCGCGGGGCACCCGCCCGCGCTGGGGCCGGCGGGCGGGATGAAGAGGGGACAGCGCGGCCCAAATGCGGGTGAATTCTGCCGTGCTGGCAAGTGGCACCTGGCAACACGAACCGGCAGCAGCGGTGCCGCCTGCCTGGGAAAGCGCTGCACAACCTGGTCACGATGTATTGTGAAACAGAATAAAGCATTACGCCTGGTAGCTTGACCCCAGCAGGCAGGGAAGCACCACGCAGCCGCTCGCTCGGTCCCCTCCACCCCAGTGGGATGAGGGGGGAGGACGGGAAGAGGAGGAGGAGCAAAAAAACTCGGGTGTCTTGATTAAAAGAAAAAAAAAAGTCCAGTGAAGTGAGGGGTTTGTGGAAGGAGAAAGGAAGCAAAACAAAACAGGTGATGCGAAGGCAATCGCTCAGCACGCCCCACACGCAGAGCAGCGCCCAGCCAGGTCCCGGCGGAAGACGGGCCACCCCCCCGGTGCCCCCCGGCCCAGCACGACCCCTTGGTGAGCCGCCGGCGCTCCCCGCTCCGCTCCGCGGGGGCTGAGGGGGCAGCAGGGCGGGCCCTGCCCGGCCCAGCCCGGTGCTGGTCACAGACCCGACCCGCAGCCCCGCGCCGGCTGCTGGGAGGAAAAAAAAAAATCAGCAAAAAAATACCCCAGCCGGGCCCAGAACGCTACGTGAGCCAGATGAGAGACAGTCTGTCAGCGATGGCTCCTGCGTCACAAGTCTGATACAGCTGTTTCATTGCACTATTGGAATACGAAAAATAATTTTGTCAGGGTCAGATGTCTGACCCCGTGCTCAGCGAGAGCCGGACTCTGAGCAGGTAAAACTCCTCCACATGCTAAAGCGCGATGCCTGCTCACACAGATCTGCACACTCACCTGCACAGAGCTTATCACACTGCAACACGGCTCATTCAAATAATCTGTTTTGCCCCCTTGAAGGTGCAGATTGAAGTTGTTGTTAGTTCAATCTGTCACACAATACACAGCCCTGGGGGCACCGGCAGATCGGGTTCAATCTGTGCTACTTTCCGCCACACCACGAACACACAGAGGGGTATGAACTGGTCACTGAGTTCACCTGGGCAGCTCTTACAGCAGAAACAGGGATTTTATGTAATATGGGAAATGGCACGCAGAAATGTTCACGGGGCAGGTGAAGGGTTCCCCTCCATCCACAAAGCACTCGTACCAGCGTCCCTATCCTCTGAAAACACCCAAGTCTCCCAGGCCACGAAGCCCTTTCTGGCTCCAGTTTTGAGAAGACTCAGCAATTGAAAGAGTTTGACTCAAGTCTCTTCTGGCTTCTGTATTCTCTAGGAGGAAGAATCAACAGACTGTCAAATCCAGGGGTTTCTTCTGGGCAAAAATCAACAACCGCTATTAAAGACGGGAACGGTGGAGTGAGGAAGGTTCATTTCTGAACCTGCTGCAATGACAGAGGCTGATTCTTGCCACCAGAGAAGGTTCGTGTGTATTCAAGTTCCTACAATTCCCCTCAACACTGAATCTTGGCTCACAAATGAAGATCAGTAAACGTACATAATGTACAAATCAATGTTCAGGGGGCTCTGTCTGATTGCCAGGAGGAATGGAAGGCTCAGCTGGCTTACTCTGCGTTCAGCAGAAGTAGAGCTGATGCAGGAATTCACTTGAAGAGTTAAGCGGCAAAGTTTAGACACCAATTATAATGGTTTAAACTCTGGCAAACAGAGAGTAAAAAAAAAAAAAAAAAGAATCAACAATTAACTGTTAACAAGGACAACTGAAGAGACCGTCTCCTAAGCAGGGTATTAACAGGACACACAGAGCAGGTGAGTCTGGAAATCCTTCCAAGCACCGCTGTCGCGTAAGTTCAGCTCCCCCGCCGGCAGCTCACGGGTACGGGGCGAGGGTGGGACCCGCCAGGCTCTACACCCAGGTGCACACGCTTCTCTGGGCCGCCCGGGATGTTCTCTGCAGGACTAGGTACCTCTATTTGTGTTTTGTTAAAAGAAGAACATCGAACAAACCTCAAAAATGAACTGCTTTAGTGTGAACTTCATGCTGACACCACGAGAACACACGAAAGCCTCGGGCTGTGAGCCGTTACTCCTAGCAGCTTTGGACACAGTCGGTAACTTGAGGACACACAAGGTGAGAATTCTGTTTAACGCAGACATGCTTCCCGTCAATTATTACCTTTATGCTGCAGCTACTATGAGTTAATCACTCCTGTAGCGATACCTTAGTGTAGCTGTCACAGTATTTCTGCAGCAATGTGAGAACGTTTGATGGGTGTTCAGCAACACTCTCACCGCTCGGGGTACATGTGCAGCACTGGCATGAATGCCAGGAGGGGTGTTTTTATGCAAGAGGCTAAAAGCACAATCAGCCACGGAAATCAGGATGTCTGACAGTGAATGTAAAGGTTAGAACAAAACGCTGGTGCTATAAACGACATCTCCCACGGTTCTGTCTCATTCCTATAAGAAACTGATTTTCACTGGCATTGGCAGGAGTAAGGAACACACTGCACCTTCCACACACGGGGAGGGACAACGTCAGAACTGCAGCCAGAGGCCGCAGGCTACACCATCCTGCCTCTCCCTCTGTGGGTGTGAGCTCACAAAACCCACAAACTGCTATAAGAATAGGAAGCAACCCACGGGTGTGAGCAAATAACCCTCTTCTGCAGGTTTTTCTTATTTCTCTACATAGAAGCAGAAATCGAGTGGTGGTGAGTACCCATCTCATTGAGCTGCTCCCTGCCGCAGTTTAGGTCAGAGAACTTGGGTCTGTTTTCCGGCGGCGTGCAACTGGAGTTAAAGCTGAATTCCAGTGAACCTCGGGAGCTCACGTGAAATAGTTCTTCATTTGAGCTTAGTATCTGCAGCAGAGTAATTTCACTACCATAGCACCCACTTCTCTACCACCAAATCTGTCTTATTCTTAAGGATGTGACCGACTTCCTTTGCTCTATCATCAGGTATTATTAGCATCACACAAGAAATGCAACAGCTTAGCACTTACACTGAAGCCATTCCCGTGTCAAAAGGATCAGTGAACCACCTCTCATGCCACGAGCCCAACCCTGAAGCAGATCAAGCAGTATTTCGTGCAAATATGATGAAAGTAGAGTGTACCTTGATGAGGAAGCTGCATGAAAACTGCAGATTTAGAGCAAGGCAGAGAAGCTTCACAGACACAGAATGAAAGAAAAAACCGTAAGTGAGTAATGTCCATGACAAGGGAAAGGGGAAGGAAAGGAGAAGAGGTGATGACAGACAAAACATACATAAACAATGATCTGGCCTAGTTGTTTCCAGATGCAAGAAAAGAATCTTTCATGTATCTGCAACTTAATACATTTGTAACCATAATAAAAAACTCACTTGGCTGAAACTGTTTAACTCAGTGTGATGAAGTAACTGCACTGATACACACTCAATTTTCTCGTCCAGCAGGTCCCGAATCAGAGTAAGTGGGTGATAGATCTGCATCCCTTACGGGGCCCACAGCTGCCTCGCTCTTTCAAGAGCTCCTGCGGGCCACCTTTCCTTCACATGCTACAATGCTCCCACCAGGGATTTTTATCTTGGCAGATAACCAGGTCTTCCACTGCTTACTCCCTCGCGCTTGTCTCTGCAGTGTGACTGTGCAGCGCTGGCAGCGCCATCGCGCACCTCTAGGCACAGTCACGGAGAACACAAAATCCACGCGGGCAGCTACGGAGCTGTGTGAAGTGCCAGACCACCAGTTACATTTTTAATACAATTTAACAGCTTAAAAAGCAAAGCATGTTTTATGCAAAGTTGCACTGGTTACGTACCAGTTTAATCAACATACAGTTTCACCAGTTTAAAGTGGAGCAATGTCATAAATGTGGGACGAAGGAGCAGAATCAAAGGCTCTGTGTTGTGACCTGGTCCACAGCTTGAGAAAGCTGGAGATCCCCTGATCAAACGCCAAGTCTTTGTATTCAAATTGCCAGAATGAAGCGAGAATGCTCAAGGAAATAGGCGAGACATAAATAGCAAGAGATGATGGGAAAACACCTCTTAAACATTACGCACAAGGCAGTAATCACTTCAGGCTGTTTCACACTGGCTGGAAACACCTACAAAGGCTGATTAACAAAAGGAACCATTGGTAATCCCCTGGCCTTCATACGTGCCTTCGAAAATTTAACTCCCAAGCAAACCATGCAGAGAGTGCCATAAATGCATCACTACAGACCCACGAGCACCCTGAACAAGTTCACTAGTTCCCCACTCCATTTGCGGAGACGGGCTCTTAGCCAGCGCTTGATAAAAACCAGCTGTTTGCAGAACACTTGAAAGCAATTTCTGACAAGCTGGATTAATTCCTTCCTCTTTGCTAACAAAGGAAGGAGGAATAGAAAGTGAGGCAGGAGGAAGGAAGACACTGACAGAGCAAATGCTTTTTTCGCTAGTAGAGGGCCTAATCCTGCATCATCACTTCATCCTTGCAAAAAGAACTGTTGGAGCTGCCACCGATGCTGCGTTCTAGAGGGAAAGATGCTGCCCGTAACGTACTGACTTTCACACCTGTGAAAGTAAGTACATACAAGTAAGTACAATTTTTTTCCCCTATAATTTTATCGTTCTCCCTGTTCTAATATCACAGCTAATTCTTAGCTGTATATCAAATAAGAAGGTTTCTATCGGACCACTTTCATTTTCCATAATCTTCATTGTTATTTGTACCTGCAGTCTATTAGGAGTTTTTATACATAAATATTTCTGTATACAGGATGAGTTGTGCAGTCTCCAAAACTTCTTCAAACTCAACTTCTGCCCATTCTAACCCCTCAGATCAAATGGGGCTCCAGGAAGGCACCAGGGAGCCCCTTTCAGGCCAGTGCTCTCTCATGTGTTCTCGGGCAGGAACACAAAGCAGGGAAACGGGGTCTCCTTTAGGCTAAAAGTGCTATTCATAAAGTGTCAGAGAGCGGTAACAACTGTGGAAAATAAGCTTCACACTTTCTCTCCTCACTTGGGACAATGTTATTTCATGTCATCAATCATCTCCAATTGGCAGGGAACTGGGAAGCAAATCTTGTTTTGAGTATATTTAGACTGACAGGCATCTTGAAATACAATTCCAGAACACAGCATCAGTATTTCAAGAAGCTGATCTCCCTAAATTTAAACAATTTAAGTTGGCTTCTCATACTGCAAAAAAGTGGTTGTAATCACTTTTCACTGCATGAAATAGAAGTGAGAAACCATTATTCCCAAATTATTCAAACGCAGAGCACTGTCTTACCTCTGCTGCCCCTCTGCAGTACTCACCACGCTGCACGACGTGTGCATCTGTGAGCAGAGTGAGAATCTGGCAGACCAGATTGCTTGAACAGAGCTAAGGACAGCTAAGCGGAGCTTATTTCAGGGCCAGCAGAAACCAGGGAACTACAGGAGAGTGCAAAAGCCCAAAACACCCCTGTAAATACTACACCTAAACACAAGTGGTTTCTAGCCTTCCATTAAGGTTAGAAACATAAAAGGTTGATTGGCTTCAGTGTTCAGAACTGCAATAGCTAAATCATCATTTTAAAAATATCACACAGTGTAATTTTTATGACAAAGAAGAGTAAAGAATTTCCTCAATATATGAGACACTAATCCAAAATCACTTCAGGAAGAATCTTCATGCAGATTTCTTTGACATAAATTCCATTTTCTTTCTATATTTAATTTCCTCTAGCTTATGCCTCATCTGCTATACTGAATAATTTTTAGTCGTCTTTAATTTTTCACCCTGAAAATCTATGCTGTTAAATTTAACCTCTGCATTTCCCTGTAATCCCCTTCTCCCCACGCTAGAAGGAATTCAGTGTTTTTGTCCATTTACTGCCTTTGGTGACTTTCTTGAACACTTTCATTTTAGCATTGGCATGTTTCTGGCAACGCAAGTCTGAACTGACCCAGTATTCCATACGTATTGACAGGAATACGTATTTTTTTCTTCAAGGGAGAGTACGACCTCCGTATGATACTGCCCATACGAGCACGGCCATGAAATCATAGAGTCAACTGAATGTGAGTCAGCCAGACACACTCTTCCACAGCACAGTTCTGGGCTATTTTTCCTAATACCTGCTATCTTGTAGTGCCCAGATAGGTATTCTTCTCCTTGCAAAATATCATGATTATATATTAATATTTATTAATCTTCAAGGCTCCACTGCTGCATATGTTCCAAATTAAGATGCAGCTGTTAATTGTTCTGATGCACTTAATGCTATTTCCTTCACGTGTATTGACCTAGAAGGCAGCTTTTGTGTTGGAAAAAATCCAACACCTGAAATACCACTGTAAAAACCTAGTAAACAGTCGGATATTCACCTGACTCAAGAACGCAACGATGTTTGATGCATAAACCCATCTGAAGAGACAACGGGGCCAGGTGTGGGGCTGCAGGGGCAGTAAGTCAATACACTTCCCTTACCTGGGCAGCACCAGAACAGGCACTGACCTGGGGAGTGCTGGGAGGTCGCAAGCGAGGTCATGGAATTGGACAGGTTGAGGTTAGCAGTGATGCTGAGCTGGCTCTGCACTGCGGGGGGGTACGGAGACGTGGGTGTCAGGAGAGATTCTTCACTGGCCTCCTCATCAATCCCAGGCAAATACGTGTCAATCAAGGCATCAAGAAACTTCACGATGAGCTCAGCGTAGTCTGGGATCTGTGTTTGCTGTGGGTCATGGCGGGGGGAAAAAAAAAAAAAAAAAAAAAGAAAAAGGATTGGTGCCGGGGCCGCCAGCGCCTGACTGCAGAGCGCTGCCTACCCGGCTCGGCTCTGCCGCGTTACGGAGCCGAGAGGGAACAAACGGCAGCACAGATTGATTTGTTCTGCTGTAACATAAAATTTAACCTTATGGAATTACCATTCTCATCAAATTAATGCCCTACACTGTAGGATACATGTAATAATGCAAAGACTTTGAGTGATACTGCGTGTCCAAGGCCCCCCAGCGAACCTGGGAGCAGTCAAAAGGTGCGTTTACACACCTGACTGCTCTTACCCAACTTTGGTAATTTGACCTTACCGAGGCTACCGAAATATCTTACGTAGGCTTGAAAACTGTTTTAGCTACAGGAGTGAGCCTTGTATTCCTAACTTGTTCATAAAAATCCTAGGACTTGTCATTTATCTGCATCTTTCCTGAAGCACCGATGTGCTCGATACAGAAAATTAAGGCAAAACACTCATGAACTTGTACTGTTCTTACCTTAGAAAATGGGCCAGCAAACCTCCATAACCCATTAAATCCAAAACCTACAACAATAAATTGAATGTTACCACAAAAACACAGTTCTCAACTGACTGGAAAGTACACATAGTCCATCACTTGGGTCTCCTTAGGCACGGACGTGAAATATTTTGATTTGGAGATGCAACGCTAAGTTTTGTCCAAACCACGTATAACAAAAATAAGGCATTTTCGTTTGTATATGAAATACATAAATACAAAATCTCAGAAACGTCACACAACAAATTCTAGACAATATTTTAAAAGGTAAATATAGCATGTAAATATACATCTCACTTCAAAAATTATGTCAATATTTGAGTTTTTCTCAACTGCCATCTGTTTCTTATGGACGGTCAGTTTTTGATTAAGGACCATAAAAAAACCCATTTAAGTGTTCAAGTGTCACATGAAAGTGAGCTTGCACACCACAAAAACAAATGGTACTCTATGGAATTTACTGATAATTAAATCAACCCCTAACTTACCAGGTTAACTTAAAACTCACCATTTACCACCACCACTCAGAACAGAATAGACTAGACCGGTTTGGGCGGGAAGGGACCTCAAAGCCCCCCAGTGCCCCCCCCGCCCCGGGCAGGGCCCCCTTCCCCCAGCCCCGGGCGCTCCCAGCCCTGTCCAACCTGGCCTTGAACACTTAAATTGCTTAGTGGAAACAATATACCAAGTTTCAAGTTCTTTTTACTCACATAGACGGTGTAATACTTTTAATATTTGGTGCAAAACTGCAGCAAGCAATTTCAATATTCATGTCAGTAGGGTTTTTTTAATATGTGAACTCTTATTTTTACTAGGATATATGGAGTGATGCCACGTAAGACTGACTATTCTACTAGAGCTGTAATTCTGAAACATTTTCAGTAGTAAATCTATATTTGAATACAGCAGTTTTTTAAAAAAATGAAAAAATATTTACTCTGTAGATAAGAAGTTTGGTACTGGGGTGGAGACTCCTCATGGTAGACAACACTCTGAACAATCCCATGAATTGGATTCAACAAATTCGGATCCTGGCACAGCGATAAAAGCGTATTGATCTTGGAATCCAATAAATTATGCCTGAAGAAAAGAGAAGTGGCTCATTTTGTGTTCATTAAATAAAACAGAACTGCCGTTCCCAACTGACCTGGGATTTTCAAAATCTCAGTGATTTTAGAACACAATTGCTGTAGATGTTCAGTGAGGACTTTGATGATGTGTAACACTTCCAGAAAGTTGTACTGATAATATAACCCATCAAAGCATTTATCTAGCACTTTAAATTGCACATATTTTAATTATTTTCAACCAAAAAATTATTCACTGGATTTGTGTACATGTCAGAGCTGGAATTCCAAAGCAGCTTTTTTTAACTTGTGGAGCACTGCCTCATTTGAGCTGCCTTGCAGAGCCCATGCATGTTTTTTAATACAAGTGCCAGTTACTTACAATTGTGGTTTCAGTAACTCACAGAACTTGTAGGTACCTTGACCGTTATTGTATAAAGCCAGAAAAAGGCAGTATTCTTTTTAAATCACGCTCAGGTCAGGTCAGTTTTAAAGTCTACTCATCTTAATTTCTGACAGCGGGGTTTTCCCTACATACACCGACTCCGGCAAACAGTACTTCTAACAGATATCTGAGGAAATGCCTCCACAGCGTGTCCCAAGCCACGCTCGAGATCAGTTCTGACCTGCGCTTGGGGTGCCGATTAAAAAACGCGGGTCTGATCCGTGCTGAAAAGGATATTTAAGAGACGCTGACCTGTACAGAAAGGTCCACGAACGCACGGCGACGGCGTTTGCTTCTCCGCGGCATCAAACGAGCCGCAGCGGCAGCGCCGGGGCGGCCGCAGCCAGGCTGGAAGCCCGCGCACAGGCTCCCTCGCGGGGAGCCCCCCCCCCCGAGCCGCGCTTCTGGGGGCCCCCAGAGGGGCCTGCGCTGCCCAGGCCGCGCTGGTCACCAACGGGAGGGGGGGGAAAGGGCCGTTCTCAAACCCTGCCGAGGTCTGTCTCGGCGGCCGCGGCCAGGCGGCAGCTCGTGAGCTGCACACGAGGAAGGAGCTGGCACGTACGCGCCTGTCCTGGTCCCCAGGGCCTCCCCGGTGAGGGAGGGCCAAGGCCAGAGGCACCGTAAGCGACGGAGTTTTCGATACTCACACAACAGGGAAGACCTTTGGGAAGACAACACTGGCTTCTGCTAAATACTCGTACAGAATCCGCTGGTCGAACTCGTCAGTAGTGTACTTCACTAACGTCGCCTGTCACAACGTAAGGGATTAAATTAGCGTGCTTCCGGTTTCATTTGAGGAGTTACAGGCTTCTGCTGTTGCTGTAGTTTAAGGTTTTAAGGTTTCTGAAGAGCAGAACGCAGCGTTACGAAAGTTTAAGTTATGTCCTCTTCGGACATGGCATCGAGTTATTTTATATGTATGTGAGAAACTATAAAACCAGTTGGTAATAGCTTCTCTTTTGGCAAAAAATTTAGCTAGTCAGTTTTTGACAAAAGCGGGCAACTGAGTCCTTCTGAATTACATCAGGCATAGTGACTGTACTGGTACATCTGAAAGCAATATCATACTGTACCTATATTACTAGTTAATTTTTAAACTGAATTATGCTGGGATTCCAACAATTTTCACTTCTTAATTTTTTAAGTATAATATATTAATTACCTTTTAGTATACAAAATTAGTTTGTGATAAAAATCTGCCAGGAAAAAGGGACAATTGTTGGACACGTTCTACAAAACAATACAGAATAATGAAAATTCAGTATTTGCTCTCAAAGATCATTTCAATACGTTTCTAAAAATGATTCCTGGAAAGTTGGAAGAATAACAACAAAAGAATAAATCGGCACATCACAGTGATTGTGATCCATATGAATTCAGAAACACTGCAAGGAACACGTATGCTTCATCGGAAGATAAAAGAATATCAGAAAATAACAAACAAAACACAGAAAGAAAGCTTACAAGAACTGTAAGCAGCAGTGCTTGAATTTTGGGGTCAGTCAGAACTTCTTCATCTAGGAGGACATTTGACTCAGAAACGGAAACTTTTCGAAGATGCGGGTGTTGCTGTGGTGATATTCTCTGGGTTTCTGCCAGATAAAAAAAGAGCACCTCATCCAAAGCAAAATAAACCCAAACCGAAACAGAATTCGCTCTCACAACCAGTTCAGTCCTAGGCACGCTTCCGAGTTCACCAGCCTTTTCGTAAAGTATAAAAGCGACAACTCTGCTGTAACACTAGCAGCGCTAGCCCGTTACATGGGATGTAGTATCACATGGCAAACAATAACCCCAATTTCCTCTTCAGTGAAATACAGGCCCAGGGGTGTAAGTACCATCGTCAGGGTCAGCAGCAGGCTGCCGGCGGATACGGCGGAAGAACCCTGGTCTTGCATTGCAATTGGGGATGGGGCACAGGAAGCAGATGTGGGAGAAGATGAAGAGAGGCATTCTAGGCATCACGGCATGTTCCATCTCCTGCAGAAATTTGCAGCTAGGGCTTATTAACTTAAAAGAAGCCAAATTTTATTTATTTCATTTCACTCCTGTATGCAGTCCTTCGTAGCTGCCCCTTATTCTGCATCTGCAAACTGAGCAACTCTAATTCAAACCGCAGTTGCCAGCGATACAGAAGGCCGCACTCTCCAGAAGCCACTGTTAAAAAAGGTATTTCTCCCTTACCTTGTAGTAACCCAGGCAAATAAGCATTGAATTTAGAAAGAATCCTTTGTATATATATACAAAGCATTTATAACTAGTATTATTCTTAGAATGTTAGTCCTGTTTCTCACCCATTTCATAATCATTTTCGGCTACTCTCCTCATTTTGGGAGGCGTTGTGATTCCAGATTCCATGTCTTGCCTTTTAGGAGCCTTTGTGTCCGATATCAAATGGTCAAAACTTTTCCTTGTACCTAAAAACAATTTATCAGGCAATTAAAAACATTAAACCTAAATCCATATTCTAACTTCTGATTTTCTGGCCAAGCTACTCTCCTATCTACAATGTATTGACAGGAATCTGGGGACATTTTCACCATTTTCAGGGATGGTAGAGAAAATATGATCACACCATGCCGCTCTCCATCACAGTTTCCAAAATGCTTCACAATACGTATGAGGAAAGCATGCAATTTATTCAAATATGTAAGCTGTGGGCATGCTATGGTTTCCTGGTCAACACATCACATCGAATAAACATGCCAAAATGTGATTACTGAAAAGGAAGCAGTAGTAGGGTTGTAATGAGGAAAGGCCCCTCTTCTTCCACGTATACCGTAGAATATCAAAGGGTACCCACGAGTTATGCAAAGCAACTCATCTCGTTTCTCTAATACTAAGGCTGCTTGTAAACATGATACACTGGCAAGCCGTGAATGAAAATCGGATTGCTTGCAAAACATCTCAACTGTTTTGAGACCACCTCTCAAAAGATAGAGGATTCAATACAGTAGCTAAGCTAAGGTATTCAGCTTCTTGGTTCTGCTGAAAGAGGGCTGGTGGCAGAGAATTGGCACTATGAATCTTTGGTATCTGGAGTATTTTTTTGTCTTTCTTTTTTCTCCACTTCGACGTGCACATTTTGAGTGTCACTCTTGCTTCCTTCCCCCCCTTTCTGACCAAAGAACTGAGTTAGTCCTCTTTAACCATACAGTATTCTGCAATTTGTATTTTGTAGCAACTGCATCGATTTCTCTGAGTCAGGAATAAGCATGTAAAGTCAGAAAAAATACAAGTATAATTTTACTCCAGCAACACTTCTGGGGTGTTCTGTGGACAAATTAGTAAATCAGTTATCTTAATAACCTAGAAGCTTTTTAGTGTTCGCTTGTGAAGGCTGCCCCATATCCAAACTCATGGATTTTCGTGTTCGAGGGCTTATCTGTCCCACTGTCGGGTAACTGGCAGCCAGATGTCTGTCTGACCCCTTTGGTGATGACCATGGTTGATTTTCCTTTAGTGTCCTGAAAGTGCAGAGAAATTAAATTAAGAAAATCTTTTAAAATGTGCACATTTAGGCATAATTTTTTCAACCACCCAAACTGTCCTGTATTAAACCCACCTTTCCTAACAGGTTAACCTTCCAAAACCACATACTACGAAATAGCCGTTACTTTGCTTGCAAAAATGTCTGAGCTAGTAAAAACTAAGAGTCTGATATGAATGTAATGCTGAAGAGATAAAAAATAAAGCAATGAAAAGAACACAAGTAAATCAGCCTATGAGCCAAGATGAAAGATATTTGGTAATCAGCCACTCCATACTGGATGCTGAAAAGAGAGACACTGAGTACAGTGCTCCCCAGGGAGAGAAACCAGCTCTCCAAGTCACTCTGGGTGGATTTCTTAGCTTATCGCTGTGGCTGCTTATAGACAGGCTATAAGGTGTCAAGATTTTCCAATGACACAGATCAAGTGATTACTTAGTACATGCCTTAAAGGTCTTAAAAGGACAAACAAAATTTTCTCCTAAAATATAAATTAAAAATTAGATTAAATTAGGCCTTGTAGAAAGATGTTAGCAAACAGTTAATCTCCAAAGCAGTTAAGGTCTGAAATAGTTTATGAACCTCAAAATTAAATCTATACAAATTTGATACCCAAATTCCTCTGTGGCTCTTGATCACAGTGTAAGTAGCATGTTGGACTGGAACCAGTAACAGAACATTAACTCAGCTTTACGAATGTGGGTTTCAGTTTTCAGAATACCACAGGCTACCTTTAGACAACTTGCTAAAGGAAACCGACACTGAAATCTGGATAACTTATCTTAAAGTTAGACAACCAACCTATAGCTAGTGTCACTGTGATGTATGGGATATGTATCCATAGGAACATTTTCCATTGAAACGTCTGTCAACAAGAGAGACTTCCTATGTTTTAGGCTGCAGCGACTTCGAACTTCCTCAGATACTGTCAGCAAAGCTAAAAATTCAAAGAAAGCTAATATAAGTTTTCCACAGTAGGAATACATTGAAAAATGTAAGCAATAATCTATCAATTTAAATTGTTTACTTAGTACAAAGACCAGCGCTGAGAGGTAATCACGCCTTACTGAAATGTACAGATTAAAAGTAGGTCATTTAAAAGAGTTAAATTCCCCCTCCAGTTACATGATTTAAACATTCGCCCTCACATGGTCACAATTTCTATTTCTAGACCACTAGAAATTTGAATGTTCTAAGGCACACACTTCAGTATTTAAACCAAGGAATCTTCAGCCTCCCTGAAGTATTTTTGAAGTTGCACAGCAGGTCCTGTGCCGGCAAGCCTTCAGCCCACAAAACCCTTCCGCTGACACCCCCAGCCTAGCCCGGGCTCTTCTCCATCTCCAGGTACACGTTTCCTTTATGTTGGCGCAATTCTATCAACCTAAACCCACAAGAATTCCCACAGTAATCCATTCCTTTTCAGTTAGCACAAATTTAAAAGAATGTTTGTTTAAATGTTCGTTTAATTTTACCTGCTAGGTAAGCCACACTCTGGGTGTTCACCTCAAACTTGTCACAGTTCCTGTGTTTGTTAACCAGAGCTAGTAGTGTATGTAAAATCCTTACTGTTCTTGCTACAGTGGTAGGAGAAGGATGTCTGTACCCTAAGAAATGGGGTTAAGAAACCAAATATTGTATTTCATTTTTGAATGTGTGTTTATGAAGCATTCATATTTTGCAAATATTTATAAATATTTTTCAGCACTTTCTCAAGACACTTCATAGAAAGGGCAAGGAAGCACAATGCTAAGAGAAATTGCACGTTCAAGTCTAGTTCTTTCTGTCCCTCCCCCCCAAATCACATAATTTCAAATGTCTGTGCATATATTACATCTATTAACTCAAAATCAGACTTCTAAAAGAAACAGAGAGCCTGAACACATCAAACACACAGAGACGGACAGCATTCCTGGGGGAAAAAGTACGGAACTACAGCAGACGAAGTCACACATCCTGCGACAGTTAAGAATTTATATCCTTAGCACTGAAGGCCTTCAAAGGACATGTGCAAAGGAAACCTGGCAAAGTCCTTTAGTCAAAGAACATTTAATTCGGTATCTATTCTGTAATCCAAGTTGCTTAAAATCCACCACCCACTTTTTCCCTTTTATCCTTGGACTTGTTTTTATTTCCGAATTAACAGTGTTCGTCTCGAATGAACAGCAATATATATTCTTACCTTTCAGGAGGTGTCCCACTAGAGCAAAATTAAAGTTGGAGTTGAAATTTAGCCCAACAAAATGATCCATCTGCTTGCAGTGCCATTCGAGTGGTCTCCTGATCTCCATAAACACCTCTTCTGGGCTCTGACCCAGAAAAATAAAATAGAAGAGTACCTCATCAAAAGTTACATGCCATCTCAAGCGTTTGCTTTTTCTTTTAAAAGGGACAAAACAGTAATTTTAAGAGCTTACATGAAAATGTCAAACACACTCTTGAATAGAGCACATCTATACATTTCTGTTCCAGTTTAGAACAGAATGATATGAGTTTTATCTCTACATCTTAGTTTTACTGTTGATATCACCCGAGTGAAACAATTGCTAATGCAAATTTCAGTTTTAATTGCTTAACCGGTGTCCACAAGGGCAAGGCATTTTTTTTTTTTTTTTTTTAGCAGATTTAACTGCTTCCCTAAACCAAGGGCTACTCACAGCTGTCTGCCAACTGCTTACCTTATCATTGAACACTCGAAGGCTATCCAGGGTATGCAGATTCTGCTCCAGCAGTGCTGTACCTGCCGAGTACAGGTTTACCTCGTCTAGCTGCAGTACTGCCATCGCTACCCAGAAGAGGGCCTTGTGCATGGGAGAGTCCTACAAGGAGAGAGAAAAAGCCAGCATTTCACTTTCAGTCAGTTCCTGTGAAGGAAGGACAAATCGGAGCGACACGCGGGTTTGTACATGCACCGCTCTCCTCCTCGTCGCCGGCCCTGTCCTCGACCGCAGCCATTCCAGTAAGAGACGTTCATATGAACCTGTAGTCTTAATGCACTTAACAGCTGGATAGGAGAAAGTTCATGAATTCCAAGCCTTCCCAACCCCCCAAAGCCATTCCTTCTCTCTCGAATTCCTTCCCTTGCTCACAAAAGGGTCAGACACATACTGCCTTACACCAGACTGAACAGACACGTGCCTTTTGTTACCAGTTTGAGAGCACACACTGAAAATGGATTGCAACTCTGCACATCTAACTGGCCAGGTAGCTTCTTCTCCAAATGAAAAAGCATGCAGGAGGAATTGGCATTCAACAAACCCTGGGTCTCTTCAGCAGCAGATTCTTCTATGAACAAGTTTTGTTTACTAACAGCAGATACACGAGGCACTTCACTCCTGCTGTACCTACTGGTATGCTCCTCAAATAATGAACTTGAAAGGAACATACAGATGGCTAAATTAATAACAAATCAGATAAGCAGACCAGCTTGCTGAAGCAGAAGAGAACATCCCAAAGCATTTCTGAAGCCTTTGCACGGGTCCCACGTACAAACACACGACATTTCCCATATGTAGTACTTTCGAGCATAAGTCATGGCAGTGAAGTGTGAACTTCAGATACCACAACACCTACATCTTTGAGATTACAGCCATAATTATAATTTTAATCTACAAAATGTGTTCTCTGTTTACTCTAAAAATCCAGTTGTTTACCTTATTAAGAAGAGGCTGCAGCTTGGTGAGTGCTATAACTGTAGCTTCTATTAGAACTTGGCTATTGTAATTATCAGGGCCTTTCAAACAGCTCTCAAGTCCCTTTTTGTAACAAAAAAAAAAAAAAAAAGGGCAATTAAAATTACAACCATAATTAGTTTTTGCTTTGTAAACAGAAGATCAAAGCTCTAAACAATAATTGTTGCTCTCAATTAGTTTAAAAAGCTTGAGCTCCTTTCAAACCAACTCTCAAGGACTTTTACAGAAGGAGATTTACACAGAAGCGAGAGATGTACTGCTGAAAGCAACTGCACAATGTGTATTAAAAAAGTAAGGGTGCAGGACAGGGTGCAAGAATTAGAGAACAGCTCTTTTACAATTCAGATGCTGCTCAATTAAAGTTTATGTCCATGAAACCCTAATAAAATGCTTAAAGGGAACACATTTAGCACACTGTTTACTTGCTGTGGAATGCAATCTTCTTTAGAAAAATATGGAACGGCATTACCAAGCTTAGGCACTCTGTTTCAAAGTTTTCCTATACGAATGTCCTGCTCTTTATTGTATTTACTTATAACACATCAGAGTATTAACAACTTCTTTTTAAAAGGAAGTTGTGAATCATGTGTGTGCAGCTAAATGCTGTAACAGAAAATTTCTCATTTATTTAAATACTGGTTTCTGGATCAATCTCAGTGTCACAAATTTTAAACTGAATATCGAAAACTACTGTTACTCTAGAAGTTGGACCAGTGATGAAATTTATTGCCACTAAATAAATTTAAAATAAAAAAGTTTGGCCTACAAATAGTATACTTCCAATTAGTCAGTTCTATACAAGAAAATACTCAAAAAAAATATTTATCCTCAAATTATGCAGAGTTCTATATGTGACGGGAAGATAAAGCTAAAAGTAGCTAAAAAAGCCTTTTTTTGAGTAACAAAGGAAAACAGACATAGACCCATATACCTTGCTAAGAATTCGGATTATTTGTTTTATTTGTCCATGAGATACACGTTTACTTATACAGCCAAAGACAACAAGTGCTCTTGGCTGCAGGGATGGGTTATATTGGAATGCAAACCTGTGAAAAAATAGAGCACACTATATTAAACAAATATACAACAGACAGGCTGTATAATGAAAAGCTGAGAATTCTAAGTGTACTACACAGGCAGGCGGGGGATATATTTTGAGATCTATGACATACTTTTGAGCTAGCTCAGTCCACTGGTCCAGCCACTTGCACGTTGGAATATCCCTCATACAAGCCTAAAAAGAATTACATTGTTTGAATGCACGTAACAGTAAGAAAAAGTACTTTTAAAATTCAGAATAAGCAGTTAGTTTAGTTCTCAAGAGTCACCTCCTGAACTGTTTATTACCACATCGTGGGAGGTACATCTCACTACACCGCTTGCCGACCGGAACGATAAGCAGTGCCATTTTCCCTCATGGCTAATTCCTCTTGTTTTGAGCCACATACCTCCATGATCTCCAGCAAAGCTTCAGTAACAGTTTCCAACGAAGTCAGTGCAAAAGTCTCCCGTTCATAGGAACCAGGTGAAAAAGACCTGTCCCGATAGCTGGATCGGAACGCTATGACCGCGGCTGATTTCACTTTGCTGATTCCAAACAGCAAATAAAATTTGGGCAGAGAGAACTCAGTCAAGCTCAGCCTTAAAACTTGCTTGGTCTCCTCTGTTGAATAAATTTTTACATATTAGATTTAAACCACTGAAATTCAATCCGTATTTCAAACACTCTGAGGCTCACCCTCCCATGAACACAAAAGTGGATAATCATCCTATATGTCATTTTGCACATTCCAACACTGTTTTCTTTCCTACTTCTTCCAGAGTATGCCACAACAGTGGTCTGCTGCACAGACTGTTGAAACCAGTCTCCAGGAAGATGTATTCTAAAAACAGGTAGAAAGGAACTTGTTTAAAGATGTTCTGTGAGTTCAGAAAATGGAAACCTGGAGAGTTCCTGCTTTGAAATACCAACAGTACTCTCAGTTCCAACTGAAATCAAATCCTGCTTTTGGCTCTGGCACTAAAATGAGGAAAGTCATTTAAATCAGAAGAAAATTATGGCCCTGCTACTAGCACTGAATATTTTTACAATTCTGAACTTTCAGTTCATTTCAGTTTGCTTCCAATTCATTGTTTAAACAGGAAGGCTTGCCTTTCTCTCTGCATCAAAGCAAAGCTTTCCTTTATACATATATATGTACGTGTGTGTGTGTGTGTGTTCACACACTTACTCTGTCAATATATATAGATACAAAATGAGCTTTCAGACACTTAAAAAGAAAGACAAGATTACATAAACTTTTCCATTTCTTTCTGCACAAAATCTAGCCTGGGTTTGTACTGTACTTCTGTGGTAAGAAGTGACAGCTACATATTTGCTAATACCAATTATTTTAGGACTGCTAAAATACAGCAGTATGCAAAATACCTGTTTTAACAGTATAATTTCACAATTCCCTTATGTAATTGTTATTTTTGTTACCAGATTATGTAACCATTCAAAGGATGCACATCAGCCAGTTTTAGCACAGACGTATTTTCTCCTTTCTCCGCATTATAGGAACTTTCTGGTACTTCTCTTTTTTCTAAAACCTTTTAGACAAACAATTTACTTTATGCACCTGCTTTAAACCAGATAGTAATTTTCTCATTCTATACTCATTTGTTGTAGATCGTATCGCCACTCTGGTTTGCATGCAAGACAAACTACAACACGGTATTTTCAAACTCTCAGGATAGTTTAAAGAGATAAAGACAATCCAAGTATTTCTTAACCAAACTAAGGAGCTATCAGCTTAACTGAAAATCTGAAAAACCACCACAACTTACCACTAAAGTGAAGCTGTGAACAAGTGCAAAGAGAATGAATGATGTTGATGACGAGACCATGAGTGGAAGCTCTGAGAGAAAGGGGACCAGTGGCCACCAGTAAAGTAACTACATGGAAGAGGTAGGGGAGATGTGCTGCCACATCCAGAGAATTGTTAAAGGAGAGCATCAGCATGTAACGTGCTAGAATTGCAATATCATCCCACATCAGGTGCTGTTCCAGCGTAGGTGTTGGAGACAGACACGTCTTGTCGATTATTTTACACATTCTTCCAATCACCTGGAAAGAAAGCAACCATTTTGTTTTAGTCAAAGAGCACAGCTCAAAATTTCAGTAAAAACCATTACAATTTAGCATTGGACTTATCTATTGCTCGAAACCTATTTTATCATAGTTTTTTTTGCATTATGGCCTGTACTGAGTTATCAGAAAGTATCTCAGCATCACATTATTATATAAGTTGAAATTATTATATAAAAGAAAATTAAGGCAAAGAGGGAACTCACTTTGCTTGAAACCAATTTTACATTTCCAGAAGCAAGCGCCACAGCTGTGTCTGCCATAACCTCAGCTTTTATGGACCCTAGGCCCCCTGTGGCACTAGTTTTGATGAAACTGTCCAGCACTACATCAAGGAGATCTGTTATCTGTTACAGAAAAAAAAAAAAAAAAAAAATCAGTCAGGTTAAATTTATTTTTCCACAGTAAACCACTTTTTAAATCATCATTCAGGTTTTTTTTTTTTATTTAGTTGAAGATGCATAGCTACCATAAATTGAAGCATCAGTTTTAGTGATTTGTTATCCTCTTGGAAAAAAGCCTAATGTGAATTTTAGAAATGTAAAGCTGAATTCCATCAGGTCTTACTCCAGATCAAAGTGCTTCAGAACTGTGGAGAAACTATAATTTAGTTTGTATTGTATTTTAAAGTATAGCTATGCATAAAATGCTGAACCTAGTAAGAAGAAACTGGATTTGAAGTGGAGGGAAAAGCATACTTCCAAGAAAACAAGCAAGATCTCATGTGTCAAAGATTTTGCTTAGAGCACCAGCCATGTGTGAATATGACAACCAGTAAAACAAGTTTCACCTAATGTTAAAAAAAAAAAAAAAAGAAAATCACCCTCCCAAACCCCATTTAATATATACAGGTAAGAATCAGATCTGTCCAAGTGCACAGAGAACTCTAAATGTAACATGCAGGCTAAGATTAATGCTATTTCAGTAATGGTTCAAATTCAGCTCTCTTGATATTATGAAAATTGGTTGCAATTTTCGGTCAACTAAATCAATAGTAAAATTTCCACCAACAGCTGTGAAATACTTCATCTTTTGATTTTGTGTTTCTCCATATTTACCTGTTAACAGACTTTCATACTGGACATAACAGTCATATTGCTCTCAATGTGATATAAACTTTCAAAATACATTAGTGTGTTTTTTTGGTTGGTTGGCTGGTTTTGGGGTTTTGCCAATTGGACCAAAGCAAGAAAAAGCACTCATGCATCCATTTGACAGTTCTCCCACATTCTCCGAGAAGAGCTTTGTGATGCTGGGCTGCGTCAGCTTGCATGACAGTTAAAAAAAATAAAAATAGTATGACAATGAGGAAGTTGATACAAAGTTTGTGAGCAAGCCAGGTCAGGGCAAGCAAAGCTGGTCCTGTTTCTCCAAACACCTCTTTCATGAATGGCATGTATGAAGTCAGCTTTATTTTCTTCATTCTCTTTACTTTGCAGGGAGGATGAGGACAAAATTTGGCTACGTGTTAAGCTAATCATCAACAGGAGGACTGATATTCTATTTAACAGTAATTAAAATGTGTCTGCTTCAAAAGTACAAAAAAAAAAAAAAAAAAGAGAGTTCTTTCAATGCCTAATTCACCTCAATGTTAGTACTTTGTTCTTTCCATTCAGTACCCATACATTCACGGATTTTGATGAAATAATTACTAGTAATACCAAATACTTTTAATTTTCAATTCTCAGTGAGGGCCAGAACGCATTCCTAGAAGCCAGAGTTCGTTAATGAAGTGTTTTATAGAATGGAAACTTCAGAAGAACTTGCACAGTACCCTCCATACAGTTAATATACTTAGGTCACGTCAAGATCCATTTTATTTTTCTGCATTAACATTTGAGCAGCTAAAAACTCTACAAACTGCTTAGAAATAAATTGCAATAAACTATGCAGAATTTGTACCTGTCCAAGACTTCCCCATATCTTAGCTTGAATGGAAGGATACATCTGTTTTTCATTTATTGTCATTGTTATAAGCTTATCAAGAATAGCAGTGACTCGCTGGCGCTTCGCATCGTCATTGTGTTTACAGAACCGGACCAGATTGGACAGCCAGGGAGTCATGTATTCCAGACAAAGATGTTTCAGTTCAATACCTGAAATAAAAATTCACCATGTAACACAAAATCAGCACTGGTCTCTATTTATAAGTAAATAATTCTTTGTGAGCACCTTTCCATTCAGCTTTGTTGTCTATGTAACTACTATCAGAGCTGAGCAAATAATACCGAGCAGACAGACGAGCTTCAAAAAGAAGAAACATCTGTAGGAATCTGGCAAGGAGATGTTGACACTTTAATATCTTATTAAGAGATGCGACAAAGATGTGTACATTCAGAATTAGATGAGACTACTTAAGATAATTTCTTTTTAATTTTGAGAATGTAAATACTAAACAGCTTCCAACAGTGCAGTCAGAGCTGTATCGTGCCTGGAAAAAAAGCAGCAGTGCAGCAGAACCAGATGTACAGCAGAGATATAACTAATCTGAAAAGATTAATTTTGATATGACTAGAGAACCCTGCAACTCCTCTGTATATGTACGTTCTAGAGTTAAAACCTTTGCTATCATGGACCTCAAATTTTGATTTTTATTCTGTAATATTCTCTACTTCTGGTGAATTACTAACAGCCTGATAAAGATCCATCCAAAATACTCACTGTACAAAACTATCAACAGTGATATGAAACAAATAATTTGTATTGTGATCGCTCTGAATGAAATTAATCCTCTAAACAAATCAGATGTCTAGTAAAATTGTTTTTAACGTTAATTTCAAAGTTTAAAAGGCAGTTGCTTTTTTTTTTTTTTTTTTAATCTACTTAATGAGAAAGGAAAGGGCACATGCAACAGGCAAATGTGAAAAGTAATGGTTTTGTTCCAACAGATGCCATTCCAATTTGTGAAGCTGCCTGGCTTCAGAGTATTACACAACTTGATTATTAAGAAACAGATATAAATAGATAATCTTGAAAATAGCTAAAACAGCTCTATGAAGCATTTGCAATTTAAACTTATTGTGACTCAGTAACATGAGGAAGCTTAACTGACTAAGCTAGACAGCTACCAACCTAAAGCTTCAAATTCATGGTTAGCGTTAAGGAATACAAATGTTACTTACTAGATTTGCTAAATCCAGAAATACACTCTTCCAAGAACTCTAAGGTAAGGTGTGGCTCGTTAGCTGCAAGAGTCTTACTAATAGATACAATAAATAGCGTGTTGTTGGCAGGAATACACAGACCTGAAGTTTCCAGTAACTGGCCCTCAATCTTTAAATTAAAGGTACAGGTTAAGGCACATAGAAGATTATAGGCAGCAGACCTGTAACAAAGCAAGCAATGGGACTTGTAAGAGTTTTCTTGTACATTTTAGAAGACAGACATTACACCAAGGCATCACAGTAGTAGTATTGACATTTTAAAAATCAAATCAATACCATCATATAAGACATCACATTTAAATCCTGAACTTTCCCCCTGCATCAGTTAAGATTCAGAGACAAAAACATTTGCCTTGGAGAAATGAAAGAAATTGCTTTAAACAATTTCTGATGAGGCAAAAGAGTATGCGTGAAGGCCTTTGTACTTGACTTCTCAGACTGGCTTTCAGTTCCAGGAAATCCTGAGTATTTCCACGTGCACCTGAGCTGCTGGGAGAGGGACAGCCAAGCCTGGGCGGTCCCTCCTGACCCGGGCCCAGAGCCTGCTCCGGAGGCACCGCGCCCACCTCAGCAGGCAGGTCGTCCACCACCAGGAGAATCAAATGTACCTAATAACTTGTATTGCACAGCAGAAGTACTTCTCCTTATAAAGGGAAATCAAGCTTCCTACATGCCTTCAGTTACTCTGACAGCACGTCTGCCTTTCTTCACCTTTGGAAAACCCAACCTTTCTTTATATTAAAGAGTACATTTTACGGAGCTGTGGTGAAAGAAAAACTGTTTTGTTCGAGAGAGATGACCTGACACTAAGGAAACCTTGGAAAAAATTCACGTATTTTTGATCAAAGTTGGTATTAGTTTAAAAGGTCTGTACCGCAAACTGGGGTCTGAGCTTCCCAGGTTGAGCAGCGCTATGTTCAGTAGTGTTCCAGGGACATCCTTGGGACGAATTTTAGTGTGCTGTGGGATGGAGTCTGGCTGTGACAGCTCCCACCGTGTCCGTATATGAATGATGGACCTAACGATGGCTTCACACTCCTGATGCATGAAGGTGAGCGGTGTGCCTTGGTTGGCAATCGTTAAGGTAAACTGGTTCTCATCGACAAGACATATTTCCTCAATTTCAGAGGCATAGTATATATCATTTAAAAACACTGTTTGGCCCAGGACTCTTGTTCGTTCTGCCGATGTCACCTGCACAGCTGTTGACCCAACCTTAAAAAGAGAACAGAAAAACAGTTCAGCACCTATTGCTAACAATACGAAGAGAGAAGAGTCTGACAGTTGTAATTTTATAAAGATAAACGTATGAAATGTTATACTTCCTAAAGAAGCTGACCAGTAAGCGGCGACTTCTCCTTGAGACAGGAGAGGAGAATTACAAGACAGTAAAATCACATTCAAATCCTTATAAACATGTAACAATTCACTAGGAGCAGCGTTAAAAGGACTTACTTTAATAGAAACTTTGGTGTCTTTATGAGCCAGTTTGAGAGCATTGTGGAATACTTTCAAGTCCTCCTCCAAAGCCAAGGTAGCTGCTGGGAGTTTCTGCTGGTCGTGCTCGATGTGCTCCGCCAGCTTCCCCGGAGAGTCTATGAAAATAAGCCTTTTGCTTCCTTTCAAACCTGTCAAGAGCCTTTCATGGTATTTGGTGTATTCTCTGACCCAAGAGTTACAGTTATAAATAAAAACTGCTGAGACATTTTCATAAGCAAAGCCTGGAAAAACTACAAACCATTTAGAAAGAAAGTCTGTTTTAAAGCGATTACTGGGGCCAGCGTGTGTGAGGTCCACCACAATTTCATATGGCTTTGCATAGTATGGCTTCAGAGTTAGCAGTACATGGTATATCAATAAATCTCCGTTGATCTGGCCAGTCTTGAATCTGTAAGAAAACAAGACAGACATTGTTGGGTTTGCATTTTTAGATCCACATTTCAAACATCCGAGTGGTGCATTATACACACTACTACTACACTAAACCAGACTGGTTTGTCACAGTTCTAAAAATACCACTGATCCAAAGCAAGGACACTGGACTGGCAGCTACAGCCTAAAGGCATCTGTCACTATTCTTTTATGGCTCTCACTCCAACCAAATTTAGTGCCCAGTATGATGAAGCTTGACTTGGGATTTAACTGCATTTTGAAGTGCCACACAACCTACCACAGCCAAGTAACTTCCAGACAGACAGGAGGCTTATTCAACTAAAAGAAAAAAAAATAAAATTCATGCTGAAGAGCAACACTGAATCAAAACTGGATTCCAGGAAAAGAGCTCAATTTCTTTAAAAATAAAAGTAAGTCCCTCCAATTAACTTTTAAACCTCCTTAGAGATTCAAATTATATCTATTTTATATGTGGAAAAACCCATTTATTTCAGAAGTCTTAATTAAGAATCCACATACCAACGTTTTCAAAGGGTCTCAAACTCATTTCATTTGTTACACACTGCAGCACACCCGAGTGCTTGGTGAAGTGTTTCTAAGAATGGTCCGTCCTCTGAGTAGTACAGAGGATTTGCCTACAAAACAACTCTTTCCAGAAAAAGATTCAGATAATATATGAATATTAAGAACCTTTTGCTCTTGTTTAACGGTTCTCTGAATTCTGAGACTGGACAGCACGTCTGCCTAAACCAAGTCTCCAGAGGTAGCACAGCAGACTAATTCTACTAGGAAAAATTAATTAAAAACCAAATGCAACAGTAGCTCGTGAACTTCTAAGGTATTTTTAAATACCCATCACTGTTTCAAGCTAGCAACAAGTCAATTCTTTCAAGGTAAAGCAACAGGCTACGGAGAGAGCTAAGAAATACTGTGAGCATCTATGTAAGTTTTGAGTGTGTTGGGAACACTGCTCTTGATAACATCTGAAGTAAACCACCTGAGTGCAGGATAATCGAGATGAATTTCATGAATGTAGAATATTTGTCTGCTGAAGATGCTTTTTTTTTTCCCCCTTGTGTTACTTCCTGTTGTTCTGAGAGCTAATTTGGGCAAGTTGGTGTTTTTCCCCCTCTAACGTGTCATGGTATAGTTGTTACAAAAAGGAAGTGTGTCATCTCTGTGGTTTTAGTTCTCCACTTAGAGTAAAGGACCTATAATTTCAGTTACAGATTTGCTTAAAAAATACCAGCATTGTCTAAATCTACTTGCTTTATGTTAATGGTCGTTGGCATGCTAAGAGCAAATATAAGTACAAAGAAATTTTATTGCTAAAGGACTAAATACCTGAAACACCAATTTTCTTTTTACTACATCTTGGCAAGGTAAGTACATGTTTTACTTCTCCTATTTTAAAGTTCAGCTTCAAAGTTTCTTAAATTTTGTAGTAAATCATAAGCAAAAATATTTTTAAAGAAAGTCAAGTAACTCAAAACCAGTAAGAATCTGTACAAATACTATCTCCAACTGAATTAAGGAAGCTGATATAGCTGTATTTTTAGTAATGTTAAATGTTATTCACAATAAGACTCTGAAGAATTAACAGTGACAGTCACCACTTAGCTCTGTTGTTCCTATGTACTACAGACCCGATCAATACGTAGGCACAAAGAGTTCAACTAAAAAGAAAAAAGCAGCCCTTTAATGATCAGTTCCTTTGCTCTCCTGATTATAAGCAAAGCCCTTAACAACATCAGTTTGTTTATTTTTAAGAAAAGCACATCTGGTCTAGAATGCTAGAATTAACACTGAACTTACTGTACTGTCGGAGGGAGTAGGCAGAGAGAGAGTTGCAACTCTCAGACAGTAATGTTAAAAGTTTATCTGTACCAGCAAACGTATCTCAGTTCTGCATGCCATGCAGAAATTTAATGTAAAGTGTTGTTTTGTTTCCAAAAAAAAAAAAAAGTTTTTTGCTGTTTTTTGCCATTTTTCCTTTTTAAAATACGCTACAAGGCATCCTCCAGGCAACCTTTACCATATAAAGATAAATGTTCTACCTGAGCTGCAGTTGAACACTAAGATGGTTTCTAGTTCAAACTTAACAATAAGGATCCATCTCCGAACGGAGTCTGATTTTATGTTACGGGCAAACTGCAAAGTCGAAGATACATAAATGTTTTGCCGCTCCTCTGTCACGTGAGGAGAGACACCCATAGTTTGTTCCCTGGTTACACACCAGGCACAGCACTTCCTTCATTTTCCTGGAGCACTTCAGCAATTTGAAGTGCTGCCACTTGGATGTGACAAGATAGGCACAGCTCACCCCTCTGATTTTTGGCAGTGAATATAAGGTTCTTTGGTAGGCATGTTAACTTTTGACTGCTAGAAGTAAGTAATGTCTGGAATATTTCAAAATTACCTAATCTTGCAAACACACAGATATACTTTGTTACCTTTAAAGTAATAGTTTCAAGAACAAATGTATTTATAAAAGTAGCACTGTTACTTTTGGTCACTCTCTATAGTATCTGTATTTGAACCAAATGTAGACTGTACCATTCAAAGGAAACATTTTGTTCTCTTAATAGAGACAGGTTAAAGAGAGAGACATTGGATGGGATAATGAGCCTTAAACTCCACATGTGTCTCCCATGTGCAAACTGGAGCAAGGTTTGCTGCTTATCGGAGTTGTCACTATTACCTTGAGGTGGTTATCTTTGCACCAGACGGTCCTAAAGATCAGTTTCCTGCCCCCCAGGCAAACCCAGTAGATACGCATTTGAATACTACACAACCGTGAAACAGATCATGCTCATGGTAATATTATCTGCATCAGTATCTCAGGCATTTTAAAGAAAATGTCACAATCTGTAACATGTTTGTGAGAAAAATTTGAGAAGCACATTTGTGATAAATAGCTTTTTGTACAATAAAGCAGAAAAATTAGAGAGCAAAGATTTTCCTAGCCATTTATGAAGTACCCCAGACAGCTTTGCTAAGAAATATAAACAAGTAAAATAAGTTACTGCTGTTGCTTACAGGAACGTTTTAAAGTTTTTCACTTGACCATCTTTACAACCATGGTTACATTTCCCGCATTCAGGGGAATACCAGAAAGTAAGAAGCAGCAGTCTCTAAACTTTACACGGGTTTCTCTTTTCACTGTGTAAAAGCAGAAGTGACAAACTTGAAGTTGTAATGTGGCCAGCTTTAAAGAGGAGGAACTACCACGGAGTCTGCTTCTACATCACCGAGTGGTTAATAGGAAACACTTCCCTTACTCTTTGCTCCAGTCCTTTTTTAATCTTCATGCATTTTCTATAAACCTCAAACTGTCAGAAGTTCAAGACAACCTATTCTTTCAGAATATGAAGTACTTGAACTTGTCCTCCTACGTTCACTAAAAACGAGGTCGTTACATTTTTTTTTTTTTTCCACCAAAAAGGCTGCTGCCTACTATTCCCTGAGAAGTCAGATTCAAACCTCTAAGGACTAGCATTTGCTGAACTAATACCATAATTTGTATTTTTGCAGGTGACTAAATAGGAAGATGAAGACGAAGATACATAGTAAAACACACTTCACCTTCCCTGTCATGATAATCTTTTCTGTGTGTTTGCAAACAAGTGCAAACCGTACCAATTATTCTAGGGTTATAAATGAAACCTGGAATCCTGTCGGCCAAAACTCAGGAGGAAGCCAGAATATAACAGAAGCCAATACAAGCTCTCCTCTGAGCATCAGTTTAAGCAGCAACACGACTACTTCTGAAATACAGATGAGTACCCTGCAATCCCCATCCTCCACAATGGCCCAAAATTCAACATCTTCCCCTGCCAGAAGTGCTGTTTCTGCCTCTGGAGGACCCAGGAATACCAGCAAACCCAAAAGTACAATGACAAAAGAAACATGTGAAGACAATAAGTCTCTCATACTGATTTGCTTCATTATAATAGCAGTACTTGTGCTTATCTGCACCTTCTTATTTCTGTCAACAGTCGTAGTAGCAAATAAAATGTCCTATCTCAAAAAAACTCAGCAAGGAAAACGTAGGCCCAGAAGCAATGGTGATCTTCTGGCGACTAACAGTCTGTGGCCAACAGCAGCGGGCACGTGGCAGAGGATGCCCAAGGAGCCAACTGGGGCTGACTTGGCAATGCAAAACTTCGTACCGGGGAGAGACGCTGCAATCCAAAGGAAGACCCAGGATGAAACTACCGAGAAACTCAATAAAGAAACAGATAACGAAGAGGAAAACAAAGAACCATCCAAGTCACACAAACCCATTTTAACCAATTTTGTAGTTGAGATTTAATCCATACTCTGGTAAAAACTCAACTTTCATCTTTTTTACATCATTAACAGAAGGCAAAAACATAGCTTTCAAACAGCAATATGAATTTTAACATAGGAAAGCTGAATTCAGGTCTTAGGGTTTTTCCTTTTATCGTACAGGGAATGCTGTAGCAACTTGCAGTTCTAGAAGGGAATAAGATTGTGTTAAATAGCTTCTTATAAATAGTGTCAAGACTGGTTTTACTCCTTTGACCAGAAATCATGGCAATAGGAGCTGAAGGGGATAAAAGGACAGAAATCTGCCCATTTTCAAAGATCATTAGAGGAAAAAAAGGAAAGGACTGTTAGTATAATAAATATACCATATCATAAGGTGCTACACAGCTATAAACAAACAAGTTGCTTTTTTAAGGAAACCATAATTCAGTCACAACCTTGATGCAATTACTGAATCAGGAACTAGTCCCTCTCAAAATGCCCTTACAGTTTTTTTCCATCAAGCGCTTCTTAAACCAGCTTCATTGCTTTTGAACCAGATTGAGATTTGAATTGTATTTATTGTGTTTTAACTTTGTGTACAAATATATGAAGTTTGTATTATATGTTCGAATATGAGAACTGTTTCAATTTATCCCCAATAAACTAGCAACATCACTTTTTAAATAACTTATGTGATACTATTTCTCTAAGTCAAAATATTGCATGAAGTATTCAGTAAAGGTCTTCTCTGATGACTAGCTGTGATTTCTCACATCACAGAAACACACTCCACTTTGTCCTATTACAAACAACCAGAACACGCCTAAAATTTATCCAAAACCACCACAACTTTTAGTTTCTTCATTCTAATAGAGCAGTGATTTTTCCATACTTCTGGGGAGATGTCTGTGTCTGGTCTCACTACAGCAGAACTTTGCTATCTTCAGGAAACATGAGAAGCTTTTCACAGGCTCCTTCTTGGGTTAAAGCTGATCTGTTGCGCTATGGTCACAAGTGCTAAAACTGCATAATGACAAAGCTTTAAACATCCTGTGCATCTGTAATAAACATTTTTAACACAAGAGATGGTTCTACGAGTTTGAAAGAATCCCCAACTCATCTTCCATTATATCACTCCACAAACTTGGCTGAAAGGTCAAGTAAAGAAGCAACAGAGAAGCAAGACGACAGCATCACGGCAGCCAAGAGAGTGCTAGATCAGAAAAGTGCAACTACCCATGTCAAAGGTGGTTTGTGTAGTAAGGAATATTAAGTTAGAAGGAGCCTGCAAGCTTAGTCCACAACTGGGAGTCATTAGAAAATGAGTTAATTGGAGATGGAAAAAAACAAATCAACATTCCAATGAATCTGCCATAAACCACATATTCAGACCTCAGAGCTCAAAGGGAGGAGGGACAGAGGATTATGTCAGGCATTTCTAAAACTGGAGGCGAAAGGCTGGGAGAAGAATAAGAGCAAACTGACAGATCAGTGATGACAACCTAGTACCCAGGAGATGAACTGAGAACATCTCCCAGTGGTGACAGAAAGAGCTAAAGGGCAGGGTTGGGGGATGCTGCATTGCAGTTACCTTCTCCTTCCACAAAATGACCATGAGCACAGGAGACAACAGCAAAGGTTGTGCAAGCACTACAAAGAGAACCTGAGATAGCAAACGTGTGAATCTAACTTGGTGTAGAACTGCTCACAGCTAGAAAGGTAACAGAACTGAAACAGAAGAATGAATCTGGATGAGGAGTTAGCCAGTCTGCCCACAGGAACAGAGTAAGTTGATAGTAGGCAGCAGACTAAAGGGGTAAACCAGCGGTGTCATGAAAAAAGCAGGCAAAGAAGGAAAGAATCATGATCGTATTAGTGGATGGAAGGAAGGAAAAGCAGGAAGGAAAAAGAACTGTCAGTGAGGTGGGAATTGTGGCAGAAGACAGGCAGAGACTGAGGGTTGAAGAGAACGGGTATGAGATTAAGGAATCAGGGAAGAAACTTGAGTTATAATGTGAGTATGGGATCAAGATTTGTGTTTGCTGCAGGAGTAGGAAGAACCCAAAAAAGAGAACTAGTGCAATCAGAAGCATGACAGGAAAAGGAGGAGATGAAGAAGCTGCAGAAGGATCTGGCAGTAGCTACTTGGCACTGGCAGAATACACTTGCAAAATGCTGCAAGGACATATTTGTGCAGGTTTCTTTTTACCGGGCAGCCTTTCTAGGCAAAAATGCTCAAGGAGAAAAAAGGAAGTAGTTTGGGTTATACTAGGTGTTATGGATGAAGACAGACAGTGGGAAAACAGCTGCTCAGAGAGCACAGCCCTCCATTAATGAAGGCAGCAGGTACCCAAGTTGTCCAGACAGAAAAATAACGTGGAGAGTAGGGAGCAGGAGAAGGATGAAATCTGTAGTTACCTGCCTTTTAATACAACTACACAAATGAAGATGTGTAAGCAAGCCAGCGTCGTGTGATCAGACAGCTTTCTATGACTCACTGTAATGAGCCTAAGGTTGCTTTTTCACTAATAATCAGGACATTGCACCAAACCCACCACTGAAATTAAATCAGTAAGATTCAAATCCAATCACGCATAATTTTTGACTCACACAGAAGTAACTATAACTATTTTCAGCAGAGACAGATAAACAAGTATTTATGAATTTCTACATAATAGGCACATACCAGACAAAAGCCACAAAATTAGATTTTTATAATAACAACAGAGCTGAAAAGTTTGCTCGTAAAGCATGCAAACTCTGAGATAAGGCTCTTTGTAATATCCCCACTCTTGACACTTCCTGCAGCAAGTGTCGGTAAACTTCCTCTTTAGCTGCAGAAACCTACTTCAACATGAAACGAGCCATTTTAAGCTGCTTGACTTTCAGCACAGTCTGTCCTCCTAAGGCTTCAAACAGAAAAAGTAAGAGGATGCTTGTTTGACAGAAGATAAATGTGCAGGTAAGCACCAACTTCAAGATGGGAAGGTTTAATATTTGTACTATTTGGTTTGAAATGGAACTGCACTGTGTACAGCACCGTGTGTGTCTCGACCTCAGGGTGTATTCAAAGCTCTTGTTGAATGTCTGTATCTTAAAAGTATTAGGGTTTCAAACACATGTTTGATGCTGTTACTATGAGCTATCGTGAACTCTACATGCCAGTATTATTTGATTATATTTTGAAAAGAGAGCAGAGAAATTTAAATTGAATCATTTTTACCCGTTATAAACCTTAGAGTTTAGATCATAATGTTCTCAAGAAGCATTAATTTACTACTCATAGGTGTTTACCCTGTTGCATCTGAAATTTAATTTTGCATATCTGTAAACCCACAAAGATTTATGCATATTAATTTCCCAGAAAAAGCTTCACATGACTACCATTATTGTAACTAATACATTAGCTCAAACTGCATGAAAGTAACTTCTGATAGAAAAATGCTATGTAGTGGATGTATTTTATACCATTTATTTCATAGGGAGACATTCAGAGACCTGAACTCTAAACAGTGTAAGAAACAAAAAGAAATCTGTTTCATGCCAACAACGTAACATTAACACAATCTTCTCCATTACAGAAAGTGTTCCACGTGCAAGAATTTATTGATAAAAACAGTTCAACATTAGAATCCTGTTCCATTACAGCATCAGTATCTGGAAACTTTTAAAAAATTTTTATGCTCCATCCTTAACTGCTGAAGAGAGGCAAGAACCGGAAACAAAAGTTTAAGAAAAATGTAGAGAGCCTTTTCTTTTAGTTAGGTCTTAGCATATACCCATCAAAACAACACAATTTTATTTACTCATAGCAATCCTGCTTGTCAATACTGCTGCAAGTGTTTCCTATTTTGTTCCAGGTCTCTAACCATTTACAAGATTGATAAATATTATTTTTAAACATTGTTAGGACTTCTATGCCGATGCCTTTTTCTGATAAGGGGAAGAAAGGTGATAATAATCAAGACATTCTCTTCAAAACAGTCACTTAGAATGATCAAAAAAGTTGAAAATCTGCTTGCTATTTGTAAAGTCGGTGACAACATGCTGATTATGCAAATGGGAACAGGCATGAAATTTTAAACATGGGTATAAATTATTTTCACTACTATACTACTGACATAAAATTGTCTGGTGTCATTGAAGCGTAGCAATACAAAACACACAATTTTCAAGTAAATATGTTCTATTTCATTCCTGCTTCAGGAGAGGACATATTTAAAGAAGCTGCAGGAACATGGCCAGCAACCAAGTAATACTGGTTCTCTTCTACAGCGAAATCTGGAAATCACTTTCTACAGCAATACCTCAAATAGTTTCCATGAATAAAAGAAACGCATACACCAGTATCAGGAGTGCAACAGAAGACAAAGCTCCTCTGTATCAGTTGCAAGCAAACGGACCCAGTTTACAGAAATCTGGAAGAGCACTGACTGTTACACCACCACCTCAGTTCCCCAAAGCATATGCAGAACCTAGCGATGGAAGCTGGATAGCAGCACTGATAATCGGCATCATTTTGGTTAGTATGATAACAGCTATTATTATAATTGTTCTGTGGAAATGCTGCAGGAGGCCGGTTCTGGCCGATTCCAATTGGGCAGGTCGTTCTCCGTTTGCAGATGGAGACACACCAGATGTCTTTACGGACTCCGACCAGGCTACCAAACGTTCATCAGTTTTATTTATGTTGCCTTGGAAATGGAAACAAGACGCCAATTTACAGCACGATCCCACTACAGCAGAGAAGCCGTCCCACTGCACTACCGGCAACGAAGAGAGCCAGCTGCCTCCGCCGGCCGAAGCCAGTCCTGCCGTTTCCATCCCGGACACATCTCCAGCCCCCACCTCAGCAGCAGCAGCCCGTGCCCGAGACTCCTGTCCTCACCCCGCGGCTCCACCCGAAGCCCCAGATCTGCCACCTCCCCCTGAGTGGCTCAGGGAACCAACCGAGGAGCCCAGTTCAGATCTCGGCAAGTTCCAGGAATGCCACCCGGAAGCAGAGGAGCAACTTCCCCCGCCACCCGAGTTCCTTATTCAAGAGATTCACCAACCGCTGCCCCAGCCAGAACACCCTGTGTAGACTGCCAAACTGGATTGCCGGCACACTTCACATTTTCTCTTAAATGAAGTATTCTTCACATAACCGAAAAAAGGAGAAGTTGATGCAGGCAGGAACAGTAAGACCACAGCCTGGACATTTCCCCAAGTGTTTCGTATCTTCAGCTTTCACAAAAGGGAACCACCTGCTTCTGCCTGAAGCAAATAATTTCAAAATAGAATATGGGTCGTGCCCACTAGTTATCTGTAACTAGCAATTCCAAAATTTGAAGATTACAGAAAACAGAGCACGCACACCTTTGCGTGTCGGTGTATCGATATACGCAGCTTACACACAGACACGGAGGTTTCAAGGAACAGGACAGCTTTAGAGGTACTCAGGGCCTCTAAAAACTGTCTGTTCTCCTAGGCGGCATAAGTGAATGCAATGAATTCAAGGTAATTTTAATAAAGCTTTCTAATTCAAAGACGTTTTGGTCACTTAAAGCACAACTGAGTATTTGCTTAGATACAAAGCTTTGAGTTCTAAACAAACTCTAAATGCCTCGACACTCATACGTAGCGCCTTTCAGGCAAAGACCCATTTTCTGCATAGGGCCGGGTAACAACTCGGTCACCATGGATTATAGGTATCTAAAAGAAATCCTCCTAACTGCCATCAGTTGCTCTCTACTAATAGCGATGAGATTTCCTTTAAATCAAATATTGCCAAGAATTTTACTGGTGTAAAACTTCCAGTCACTTCACACTATTGTTTGGTAGAGAACAGCACAAGTAAACAGTTAATATGAACTCTAGGTCACTAAAAAAAGCTGAGATGGCTCTGAATGCTTGAAGAACAAGTACAAAAAGGCTTTCTTTTCCTAGATACTTTTGATTTTTAAGGATAAAATAGAGTTTGCAGAACACTCAGGCAAACGATTAGCAGAATTAGTTGTACACATTCACTGTTTTCTTCCTCTGAAGCAGTCTTTTCAGAATGCACTCAATATTATTAATGTAAAATTTAAAAATTAATGTTGCATGGATGCCAGATTCCTTTTAACTGAAGGTGTCTAAGTGTTTTACATGTTCCTTTCCGGGCCCTGAGTACAAGGCAAAGCTCACCATCCTGTCTAAAACTGTGCCTTTTGATAAGCTAACTTTCTGGTGGGAAGTAGGAGGGTGGTCGCCGAGGTAAATTTTGGAGGTTTTTTTAACCAGTATTGAATACTTAGATTTACAGAAAGAAGCTGCTAGATGCTGAAGCTAGCTTTCCATGACATCTCTGCAAAATAGCAAAGAGTTTGTAGTTTCGAGTTTGCTTGGGGAGGAAATATATTTGTGCATGTTGCACAAAGCACATGTTTACACATATTGCAACAATAAACTTCAAAATCTTGACGTTACCACTAAAAATTCAAGCCATAAGTTATGCAAATTCAATTCCAGGCTGCTGTGCATACAGTGGACATAGGAAAAGATATTTACAATTTTTTCTTACCATTTATATAAGTTGTATGACTGTGTATACCTAAAGAATAGCATTCCAACTATACAAAGATTTTATTATTTTTTTTTTAAAAGTCTTGTTGCATTACATCAACAGCATTATAAACTATGTCCATTCTTACCATACTGTTTGGAGAAATTCAGAGAACTATTTCCTATAGAAATCTGTAAAATCCTACAAGCTGAGCTATATTATACTTCACAATACAGCGACAGCCTGATCTGAGGAGTAGAAAACCAAACGCTTAAAAATTATGAAAAGATATTCTGGCAGTGTAGCTTAAAAAGCTTAAGATAGGAAGTCTAAATTAACATTAACCTTTATTACAGGAGGAGACATTAATCGAAGGTAAAAAAGAATACAAACTTAACATCATTTTTTAAATAGGAACATTTAAATGGAATCATAGCCTAAGCTAAAATAGCCTACAGGAATTTGATTCAGTACTGTTTACGTAGGCAATCTTACATGTTATGTTTTGAGGCATTAACACAGCATAAAATACAGAGCCGGAGAAGTTAAATGATTGAAATTATAAAAACCAACTATTTTATTGAATATGCTCGCTTTGCAATAAATTTGACTCAGCACCAACGACAGCTCTGCAGTCCTCCAATGTAGTGCAGATCAGGTGGTTGCAGAGCCCCAGCTAGCAGCAATACGATGCAGCTGAAGAGGCAAGCACAATCCACAGACAGCAACTGTAGCTACTCTCTAGAACAAGACGACCTCTAAGCTTAAATCTTTCACAGAAATGATGTGCTGATATTGCAGAAGAGATTACGGTAAGTTTGTGTTTTTTGTTTTTAGTCACAAAAACCTACTACAAAATTAGAGACAGAAATAAGAACGAAATTATTAGTTGATGACAGATGCTTGCACCAGAAATTTGCTGCAGTGTCAGAGATTTCTTACTAACATTAATTCAGCTTTCAAACATGTGTTGCCAGCTTTGAGAATGTAATCAGCACTACGATGAAGAAAAATAGTAATGTGCATGTTAGCATGAACATGGAATTTGGGTTTCAAACTAAATTCCTAACAATTTAAGGTATATTTTAACCAATTCTACTTAAGCAAATAGCATGCATGTATGGGGGGGACTGCTACATTACTGCAGAGATTTGTAAAGCAGATCCAGTTGACAGCCATTTTTTCACCCTGTATAAAAGAACACATTATTCCAAACATAATATAGGCTTGAAATCACTAAAAACAAGAAGCAGACATTGTATAACATTTGGAAGAGACTTGCATTTTCGGAAGAAAGCCCTCATTTGAGCTTGAGGGGGAAAGGGAGATGAAAAAACAAGTCTCATTCTGCCAGACAACATGACAGTCTATGAAGGGATGCTTTGTAAAGTCTCTCTTGAACAATTCTAAAAAGGACCATGCCACAAAGGGCTTTATTGATTTTTTTACTTAATTTCTCCTGCAAGTAGTCATTGCAAAGACAACCCTTATAAAGAAAGAAAATATATTACATGGATTTAAAGGGTGTCGTTTTGGTATATTTATTTTCAGGCAACAATGGAATACCAGATATTGAATACATCTACCTGTCTGCTGGTCCTTCTGTTTTTCATACCCACTGTTTTGGGTATCTGTCCTTCTAACTGTACATGCTCAGGAAACGACAGGAATGTGGACTGTTCGGGCAGAAACTTAACTGTACTGCCACACGGACTTCAAGACAACATTACCTATTTAAATCTGTCCTTTAACCAGTTTGTAGATCTCGATCATCAGCTAACGAGATTCACCAATTTGAGGACCCTTGATATTTCAAATAATTGGCTCAAGAATGTTCCTGCTCATCTGCCCAAGTCCTTATGGGAATTATATGCCATAAACAACAACATTAAAGTTCTTCAGAAACTTGATACAGCTTACCAGTGGAATCTTAAAGTGCTCGATGTTTCCAGGAACATGGTGGAAAGAGCTGTTCTGATCAACAACACACTGAGCAGTCTCAAGTTTCTCAATCTCAGCAGCAACAAACTTTGGACGGTTCCAACCAATATGCCCTACAACATAGAGACGGTGGATCTATCCAATAACTTCTTGTCCCAGATACTCCCAGGAACCCTGGTGAGACTACAACACCTGACAAGCCTCTACCTGCACAACAACAAGTTCACATACATTCCTGACAAAGCTTTTGACCAGCTCTTTCAGCTGCAGGTAGTAACACTATATAACAACCCGTGGTCCTGCAGCGATAAACAAAATATCCCTTATTTGCTGAAGTGGGTGCAGGGAACAGCTGCCAGTGTTCTAGGGGCTCCCTGTGCTAATCAGTCTGTGCTCTGGGTGAATGCCACCCCAACTCCAGCAGCTCCCACCGTTACAGACTCGAGCCTCATGATTAAAGGAATGAAGGCAGCAGACAAAGCTACTTCTCCAGGGGCAGCTGAACCGACCAAAATGACAAAAATGCATAAACAATTAAAAGCTAAGGAGGCTGCTACCCTGGCGACGTTAAGCCAGACTGTACTGTTTACGAGCACAGACCGACCACTGCTCCTCTATCCAGAAGATCTGACACCCAGGAAGGTCAGTTCTCAAGAAGCGGCAGCCACACACACCATCTACATCAAAGATTCAACCGAGGTGAACTCCAGCCTGACTCGTTCCACAGGACCATCCACCACTCCCATGACTTTAAGTATCACCAGTGGAATGCCAACAAACTTCTCCAGAATGCCTCAAAGCACAACTGCTACCTTAAGGAAAGAGGAGTCCACCACAAATATTTTGAATACTCACGTGCCCTCCAAAGCAAGTATCTGTGAGATACATTTGGTTTATGTTGTAATGCTTAATGCAGTGGCAATGTTCATTGGCTAAGGGCTTGTATTTTGTGAAAATTATTATTTCTGTGATACATAGCTGGAGTTAAGACATCCAGGTCAAATAATGAATCAAAATACAAGAAATTCAAAGATCTGATTCTGATCTAAAGAAAATAACACTTCTTAATTAAAAAAAGTGCACACTAATGTCTTGATACTAAGCTGCTACTTATTTTAATGTCTTAATTGAGTAAAACTAACCTATGATTTTGTTTTTAAAAATGTGCTTATTTTGTATTTAAATTTTTAATTTTACTTGCACAGAATAAAACATCAGGATTTTAAGTACTGATTTTATGTATGATTTTGTCATTAAACAACTGGAAAAAAAATATAAGGCCTGTATCATATCTGCATTGTCTTGCTTGACTTTCCAGTGAGCAATTCTTGTAATATAGCAGCACAGATTCTTTGTAAGTTATGATGACATGCAAAAGGAAGGGAAAAAAATAAAGGAACTAAACCTAGCAGTTCCACTAATCAGAAGTTATTCCTGAGAAAAATTGCTAGCATGTATATCTATGTTTGCTTCATATGTATTAGGATATTTTAAATATGAAGAACAACAGTTTTGAATTTAGGAATTAAATATGACAGTGCCATGATGTCTACTAAGAGGGTGTAAACTGAGAAGGCAACATGGCCCAACTTCAGCATGAGAAAAGTGGTAGGGGCTGATACCTCTTTTTGCTCTGTCTTGACTTAGAGACTGCAGGCAAGTTATTTCTCACTCTCCATATTAAAAAAAAAAAAAAAAAAAAAAAGATAAAAGTAGAGGAAAACACAAGATGTTCAATGCCATGACACTCCAACAACGAGGAGTTATCTACACAAATTAATGAAATAAAACTCCTTAACTTCAAGTGATGTCCAGAAATCTGAAATGTTACTATATTTTGCTTAAAACAATATCGCAAATCAGCCAGAAAGTATTAACAGACTAATTTCTGATCAGTAAAATGAAATATCAGCCAATCTGTAATGCAAGTTATGTAAGAAATCAATTAAGCAATTAGTTGTCAAGCTGTCATTGAAACAATCCTCACTAAAAAACAAAATAATTAATTCAGTCCATGGCATTGAACATGCCCAAGTCCTTGCTTTCTAAGGATGAGCATGAATGCTATTCTCCTCGACATCTGCACCATCAGTGAGTAGAAATAGTTGCACGCATGGTTCTGTCCACCCTAGGAAAATACTTTACGTGGCAAAGGTATACTACAGATGAAGTTTTGCAAACAGCATGAAATGAAAAACTGAAGAACAAGTTCACTGAAAAAGTATTATTCACTTAATATTACAAATCTTTATACAATGTTTTCCATTCATTTCAGGCCATTTAATTTCCAGTTATTGTAGCATGAAGGTGCTGCAAAACCCAGAAAACCTCACTGCTGAAACAGGAGTCCTCTACCTATTTCTCCTAGGTGTCAATGAGGACTGTAGACCATTTACAACTGGTATCAGAGAAATCACAACTTTCCAATTGTGAACAGTATTTCTATAACCAGAAATGTGTTTTAATTTCTAACAGTAAATGTTACACAATGAATTTGTACAGTTATTTCATTGGCATTTAAGTAAAAATAAAGTTACATTTGTATTGAACTGAATTAGTGACAGTGCTTCTTTTCAAATTAGTATATTAATATCACTGAATAGATAATATTTTAGCATACAAACCCATTTCAAGCAGACATTCGGCTCAATCTTCTTGTATTATGGGGGAAAGTTATAGTTAAATCCAATTATATTATTCTGACCCTGACGTACCCCTATTATTGTTTATTAATAAACTGATGAGATAACAACATAGGGCCTACCCTTCCCCTTCCTACCCTTTAGAACTTGCAAACACCTAAGGCTTATCTCTAGCCACTAGAAAGGGGAAGCTCCTTCTCCCTCTCAAAGAAAGACTCTCCACGTTTAACAAGACAGAAAACTTTAAAAAAAAAAATCCCCAGACCAAAGACTGACATTTCATATACGTTTTGGGTAAGCAAGAACAGGTTATCCAAGTGACAAGTTAGACAGCCTGGGCCCTAAGCAGTACGTGCATGGTACCTTCAATGGCCAGAAGTGCCTTGTTTTATGAAGTGGCTACCAGCAGTCTGGAAGAGTTGCCCACTTGTGCAAGTTCCATATGTTTTCCCCAAGTTAAATAATCTGACATGAACTGATAAATTCTGCTAACTAGGATCAGTACTAAAAAACTGTCCCTGCCTGCCACTGCCTTTGGACAGTCAGTGTATTTGCTAAGTACTGACTATGATCAACCTACTTATGTTCAGAACAAGGTATCTCCTAGAATTATCTCATTCGTATGGCTTCATCCCCAGAGCTTAAAGCATCTTCGCTTATAAGGTAGAACAGAGATCACAAAATGAGGTGCTATGACTAAACTGCCTTGAGTTGAAGAAATTACATGAAATACTACATGTGTCTGCTGAACAATTCAACACAGGATGCCAAATTCTACTGCTTGCAAAAAATCTATGTGCAATCAACTTTAATTGCTCTGAGAATATTTCACCCATAATAAGAATATTCAGTGAACAGCAACTGTACAAAAAAAAAAAAAAAATCTCAGTTTCCAGAAGTTGTTTGCGGCAAATTTCAAGTCACCACTCTGAACGACTTGTTACCCAGACTTCAAAGTCCTAAGCATGCTGACAAAAGCCTGGAAGCAGAAACAGGGTCGTGGGATTTCCCAAATACATGTACAGGCCTGGGAAGCTGGGATGCAAAAAAACTGCAGATGGGTATGAAAGTAAGATGGCACTCCCAAGTTCTAGGGCTCTGCTCTCTACCCAAACCTTGCCTGTGGTAGGTGCAAGCAAGCCAGCTTCTTAGTCAGACTGCCTTCATTAAAGCAGTCTGAAATTTCAGTTTCCTTGTATTTTTCTGGAATACAAATGAGTTGATAACGGAGCAGCGAGTAGGCAGGCAAATGTGGGAGTCGTGCACTTGTTGCTTGGCAACAGTGCAGTCAAACCGAAATAAAAGTGATAGGCATGGATGTGAACACAACAGCACCGGCTCGTGTTGCTTTAAACATGCTGGTCATTCAGTCTGTGATCAATACAAAATAATCTATCCCCAGAGAAATTCTTTTTTCCAAAATAACTATTTAGCATTTCAGGATAATACTCAAAATACCCCAAAAAAGGTTTAGCACACCTTGCAATACCAATATGCTTGCTTTTGAAAGGTTAAAATTGCTGTAGTGATAGCTGTGGTCTGAAGCAATAACTCAGAGGTTTGTATTCCTATTAATTAATTTGGGGTCAGCTTTAAAACTTAATGGCAGTACTTCAGAATCAATATTTATTGATTTATTGATAATTTTAGTAACAGTGTAGGGATTAAAAACAGAAGACTGGCTTCAGAAGTCAGGTTGTTGCCCAGGAAACAAAATGTGATGAAAAAGGACAGAAGGAATTAAATTTCACAGCACAAAAAGGATACAAACTGATCCAGATATATCAGTAAAATGACTCAACAATGTCCTAGCAACAAGATCTGAAACTACTAAAAAAACCTCAAAACAACCCAACAGAAAGAACCCAGTCTGCTGCAAGCCCTCAAACATCCTGGCAGCTCTAATCTAAACAGTCTTTCCACATTTCACACCTTGAAAAACGACATCTGGCTCAGAACCACAAGACAAACACCCCCAATAAGCACCACTCAGCCACATCCCTGTTAGCAGAAAAGATGTCAGAGCATCACTGCAGAGCAAAGCCCCCCTGCTAGGTTAGAAAAGGCAGCCTCAGGGAGAAAACTGCAGTTCCATAGCTGCTGAAGGGAAAGCAAGCAATAAAAAGGGAGGTAAAGGCAAGCAGTATTCCACCTGGTAGCAAGGCTTATGTCAAAGCATAACCATGTTTTCATTAAGTATCCTGTACCTGGATAAAATGGACAGAAATCTGCCCTTCAGCCACCCCTTTATGCAACACAGGAACTCATATCTGACTTGTACCAGGATCACTATGCTTTAGCAGTGATTTTTCATCTTCCTTTGAGGAACTAAGGTTTGGGTTCTTTCAAAAACGCCTGGGACACAGCTTATAAAGCTATTTTATTCAAAGCAACTTTTCAGACTGTTAAACTGTTAGGTAACTCGGTTAATGATTAGAACTTCAGAATTTCTGTAGAGTTCATTATCACAAAACTAGGGAAATCACCTCCATTCTTGTAAGACTGAAGAACAGTATGTCTGCAAGAGATTAGAGGCCATTCTGGAGCTCCTCTGGATTCATAGCCACCCTTCACCCCCAAAGCACAATCCAACAGCAGACAGTTCGCTGACTTTTGAACCCACCAGCTGGGTGGGGCACACAGATGGTGAAGAGCATGAGAAAAACACCGTGGCAAACTTCTATTAATGTTTGCCTCCAAGTATCTCTCAGATGGCCAGTTATGAAAGAGGATTCACTTCCACTATTGCCTGATGTTCAAGCTTTATTTTTAGTCATCTACTCCTTCCTGCCGAATTCAACAATCCTTAACTATCAGTTACTAAACAAAAGGTCATGGCTATCCTTACTACTTTGCCAAGTAAAACAGCTTAAAATGTAGAGTTACCCACAGAAGAGGTATTTTAAAGCTTCATAGTGATGTAAACAGAATTACACAGTAGTGAGATACACAGAACTAAGGAGTTCCCATTCAAGGAATTTTATATTGTCCGAACAGCTGCTAGTTAATACAAGAAGGTTGAGAAACACGAAGATGACATAATTTATTTTGGGCAAGTCAGAAGATGAAATATTTGTCTCATTTTTATTCTAAAGTTGTGTTATCTCAGTGTGTCGTCAGCTACTAGTAAGCTGATAATTAAAAAATATTCTGCAGTGCTTTCTGTTTAATATTCTCCTTTTTCGATTTTCACATCTATTGTCTCAACTGGAAAATTCTCCTGTGGACATGTTTCACAACCAAATTTCAGTATAATTCCATAACAGAACACCACTGTGATTACTATAGTTACACACAGTAGCTACTGACACAATAAACAAGTGGCATCTTCCTTTATTATTTATATATTAGCTTTTTTCGGGCCCTTTACTGGCTTGTCCAGACTTGGAAAGGTTTACTCTCAAACACCTGTGTACAGTCACCCACTGAGCTGGCATCTTTTCCAACGGAATAAAAAAATTAGTATTTAGGGATGCTAATGATCATATACTTTCTCAGATAAGTAATCAGAAAAAGTTGAATTATTTGCAAGTAAAGGGCATGAAGATATCTGTCACAAAATCTCATAGTTCCCATCAATAGCCATTATGTCTAATTATGAAAAGCAGATTCACCTGCACTGGATTAGATACTCAGAATTCAGCCCCATAATAAAGAGGTATTATCACTATTCTTTTAGCTTACAGTATGCTTTAAAAAAGACAAATGGTAAGTAGTACATACATTTAAAAGTGAATGATACTGTAGCCTGTTTCAATGTCAGATTATATATTTTTCTAAACACGTCATCAGCTTCATTCTTGGATATATATAATCAAGTTCCAAGGAGTGGTTAATTAATTCCCCAGCCTTTCTGCCAATATCAGTGTTTGTGTGAGAATTATAGATTTCCCAACTATATGTAGTCCCAAGAAATATTTGCAGCTATCATACAAAGATACTATATGTAAACTGTAACCCATCTCAACCACAGTAAACAAGAAACAATTTTGAGCAACTACTTCAGGCTGAAGCTCTCTCCCACTTCCTTTTCAGGTACTTTGCTGCACAGACATCGAGATGC